AAATGCTTTTGACAAATCAATAAAAACTCCTAATGTATAGCAATCATTATTGAACCGATTGGATATATAATTTATTAGACCGACTACCGCATGATCACTTGAATGATTCTTTTTGAACCCAAATTGTTTGTTATACATTATTAATATCATTTTTAAAACTAATAACTTTCATGAGTTTATTTCTTTTAAAAAAAAAATCATTTATAGGCATCTAAATTAAGTTATAATTTGAATTTTTTATTTAAACCGTTTTAAAAAAAAAGCTTCAGTATAAACAGTTTAATTGAGCTAAAGTTACTACATCAATAACAAAACAAGAAACACCTTCAAGGACAATTTACAACTGTGTTCATACAATGAACGTCTAGACCATAATTGAAAATTTCTATTAACTTTTGTGAACTTTCTTTACAATCTCTGAATCTGCAAACGTTCTTCTTATAATCATGGTTATTTAAAAACCAGAATAAAAAATAGTAGTAATACTAAGTGATCCACGGTCAAAATTAAAAGACAATTTCAAAAGCAACTACGGGAAGTGGGGGGCATAACCACATATAGAAGCTCAACAGTTTTTTAACATTTCCCTTTAAAAAATGTTATCTAATACGGCAGAAAAACATGCCACGAGTTGGTAAAACAGTTCCATTCGTTTTGCTTATGTCAAAAAGAGTTTCTGAAGCGTTTCTGAGAAATTGTGCATAATAATGTTTATTTTAATAAAAATATTATATTAACATATTTTTGATAAGAATGCATCATTTTTATCAAAAATATGTTAAAATAACATTTTTATCAAAATAATTATTATATTATTTTTATCAAAATAATAATATAATACTTTTATCAATATTTTTGATAAAAATGCATCATTATTTTGATAAAAATTTTATATTTACATCATATTATTCCAGTCGATTCTTTTGAGGATTAAACAATATTTGATTTTAGTGTTGAAGATATGTGTTATCAGCGTTATTTCATCAAGTGAAAACCATTTTTTATATCAAGATGACCTAATAAGCAAGCTACGAAACTGTATTCTTTCTAAAAACTGTCCTCTGGGCCACAACCACATAGACGCACAGGAGACCCAACAATATATACAATTGTCACACTTGAATGCGTTCATGTGAAAACTTCAATAGAAATAATAATGCTTTGAGATGTTGGAAATTAGATTTAGTATTTATTTAATTTTTATGAGTTTTAGATTAAAATATGAAGCTAAGAGTATAATTCGATATCTTGTTATATTTATGCACATCTGATGATTATTATATTATTATATATTGTAGCTATATAATTGTGCATTTCTTAGCTTAACCCTTTCTGGCCTGAATTATGCAAATGTAATTTTAAAAAAAATTTTTTCTTGAAAACACACCTATTATAAGTCAAAAATCAAACCCAGACAGAAAAAATTATATAAAACATTTCATACAGCAAAAGATAGCTATGTCGCGTATTGTACACAACAGGCCACAACGGCCGTATAAGACAAGGTACAATAACACAGTTATCAACAGTTATTCGTGAAACTGGCGAAAACAGTTACTCTTCTTTGAAAGGCAAAGATTTGCATTGCACTTAGTGCATACAAAAACAGTTTGTCCTTTGCACCCTGGACGCTTGCACCTCTGCCTCACACCATGTGCCGGCCAGTGACCAACAGAGTCTGTGCGAACATCCTGAGTTGGCACAGGCTTAGCAGGTCCCCTCTTCTTCTTGCGCTGCAGCTCTGCCTCCATACTGGTTGATGGTCTGCCACGCTTCTTTGCTGTCATGTCTTTGCCTTCACGACAAAGAGCATCAGCTATTTCAAGCTTGAAGGCCATAAGATCCTTCTGCTGACGCTTATCAACTCCCATATCACGACAATCCCGGCGATACAGTAACCAGCCAGTTGCCACTGCCAAGTCCACAAAATGGAAAAAAAAGCGGTGGTAATATTTCTTTGATTTCAAGTGGATCCGATACCTCGCCATGATGGCATCCAGGGTATCAACTCCTCCCATGAACTTGTTGTAGATCTGTATGATTTCTGGGCGTGGCACGTCAATATGCTGCTTTGTAGTACGATCCCACCGCCTCGCAGTTGACACTGGTTCTGCACTAGCAAATGTACTGGCTAGTGTTACAGACTTGTTGTCAAACCACTTGACAACTCGAACTTCGACACCATTGACCACACCCTCTCTTTCTTCAAATGAGCCACGCCCTTTCTTCTTCAGAGTTGCATCAGCAATCATCTTGCAATTCTGAAGACGATTCGCACGAACTGTCCCAACTGCTAATATGTTCCTATTAGCTAGGGCTGACAGCAACTTCAGTGACGTAAACCAATTGTCAAAAAACAACAGGTACTGCTTCTCTTGCGGTAAGACCTCGACCAGCTGAAGCACAATGTTGCCACTGGCACCAATGTTTGCTTGATTGGATGCTGCCTGAATCTTTCCAGTGTATATTATGAAATTATGCACAATTCCAGTCACATCACACAGCATAAACACTTTATAGCCCCATTTGTAGGGCTTGCTCGGAATGTACTGTTTCATTCCCGACTGTCCCTTGAATGGGATAATTTGTTCATCCACTGACAACTTATGGTCAACTTCCAGTGAATGGAACTTTGGCAAGAGAGAGTCAATCAACGGACGTATTTTGAACAATTTATCTCTCTGAACGTCATCTGGAGCAAGCATATTTCCATTGTCGTTGAAGTGAAGATTACTTTTCAGTTCAACCCACCTGTCACGTGACATCACATCTGCAACCTGTGACAAACGCGATGCTTTGCCCCAGTACATCTTACTTCTTGGCAGATTAAAAATAGACATGTACATAGTCATACCAAGAAACTGTTCAATTTCATCCTTGGAACAACCAATAGGCTTATTTACATCTTTTTGTGTTGCATACAGATTGGTGTGATCAGTAATGTGTTCCACCAACCCACTGTCAAAGAAGTAACGAAAGTACTCCACTGGCGACTTTATGGTATCAGCAGAAGCACGTTGATCAGCAGACTCTGGCATTGACTTTGCAGATGATTGGCCAGTAACACATTTCCAAACAGTAGATCTTCCAACAGCAGCAGAAGTGGAAGGCTGCTCATCATCGCTGCTGTCTTGCTGGTCAGATACTTCGTATTCTTCTGTATCGTCACCAGATGATACTTCAGCAACTTCATTGTCACTCGACGAGAGCTCATCATCATCACTTTCTGCAGGAATGTTACGAACAAAACGAGCTGTTGTAGCAGTCTTCTTGTAGAACTGAACAGGCTTCATCTAAAATCAGAATACAATTTATGCTATGATTAGTATTGGTATCTAGTATTATATATCACTATGTTTGCAATAAAAAATACAAAAAAAATATAAAATATGCACAGATACAAAAATAATATCAATATCACTACTAACAGAACAATCATTATAGCAAATACTATATCACAAATAATAATAGTAATAATATTACAAATCATAATATAGCCCAAACTTGCCCTAATTACTAACTCTAGCCTAACCCTAAGTCGCACCTCAGACACTCTATAAAAGTATAGCAGATATAATTGGTATCTATAAGAACACTAAACAAATATATAATAACTATACTAAAACATGGCTATGATACTATTGTAGCTGCTTGTATTACCAGCAATAATAATAATAATATTAGTAATAAATTATTATTATTATTACTACTATTAGTATTATAATTATTATTCCTAGTAGTAATAAAATTGAACACTATTATGAACATGGTAAAATATAAATATATTTCACCATAACAAATCATAAACAAATAATCTGTCATTCCAGCATGTTATATCACACAATACTAAGCTGAAGAGTGTCAATTTTGTATCTGTTATATTCAATGCTATGCCCGATTGTGTATAATTCCACACATACAAAAAACACCACATAAAAATTTATTCCTGCAATCCAGCTACAAATTCAAGGTACTACTATACAAAGACACCACTACTACATAAAATCCATAACATTTCATGGTTATAACTAACCTGTATAACTCGGAATAGTCAGGTCTTCCGTCTCGTAGTAACACCGTAGACCTTCTCACAAAATCCCTGTAAACAAAGCTCGAGCCAAGAATCCAAAGTAAGAACGTCATTGGTTCAACGATTTTATCGTCATCCTAGGTATGTGTACAATACGCGACAACCGGTCATAACGTTCTAAACGCCACTGCTATTAAAGCAGCGCGTGGATCTCGGTATGTGTAAAATTCTACACAACCGGCCAGAAAGGGTTAAAAAAAAATGTACCGTGAAAAGTGTACTTTCAACGATTTTTGCGAGGGTGTGGTTGTGCCTCACAATGGGGGCAAAACCTTTTTTTTCTAAATGTTCTTTTTGTTTAACAACATTTTCAAAAACCATTTTATTTTTTTCCTAATTGTAACAATTTAAAGTTTAATATTGTTGTTATTGAAATAAACTGTTAAAAAGACACATTTCGCTTTTTTTTATATAACATTAATTAAAAGGTTACGGGAGCGGTTATGCCCCTACTTCCCCTATACTTAATAAAAAATTACAGATCAGTTTCTTAAAAGGATTCCTATTATAATCATATTCTTTCGTTAAAAAAAAAAAAACAGAAAAAAAAATAAGAATGATGTATATATTTTTACCACATTAAATCAAGTTTTCTACTTACAACAAAGTCACCAAAAAAACTAAATCGACGCCATATTGATCGCATTTTTAGAGCAAACAAAACGCGTACAAACTAATTTAAAATCTACTGCGTCATAACTATTTTTTTAATGTCTACTATGATCTTTACTTATTTTTTTAAATAGTAAGGTTGAGAGATTAATTAAAATTTCAATTAGTTTTGCCATTACAGTTTTAAATTTTTATTAGCCTAGTTGTATAAATAAATACAAATAATGTAACAAAATCTAATTTTAGCAATAAAAATTAAAATAGTTACGTAACGTAAAAAACAATACAACATGCTATATATCTATAAAAGAAAATTTACTAAACACTCAGAAAAAAAAATACATTCAAAATAATTACAGATACATTACTTGTTCAATACTTATTATTTATAAATATGGCCCAACATTCATGGGAAACTATACTATTTGCAAAATATTTATACAAAAATAAATATTTATGTAGAGAGAGAAAAGTAAGAATAATATATAGAAAATATAGAGAAAAGTGATTTGGGGAAAAATGCTTTGATCAAATATTTTTTATCAGAATTCTACCTATAACCACATTTAATCGTATACAATAACAACAAATATATTATTATTCCAGTTAAATATTATGCTTTATACATATCTTTACTTTAACATTTGTTTTTATAACATTCAAATTTATATCTAGTGAGAAAAAAAAAGTAAAATACAAAAAAATATGCAACTATAAAATTCCTATGAAATAACTAAACAAAATGTTATAATACTTATAAAACTTTAATACTCGTAACCTTAAATACAAATAATGAAAACTTGAAATAGTTATAAATTTACAACTGTCTCATAGAATAAATTCCAATAAATAATAAAATAAATAAAAATAAAAAATAATTAAAAAAAAAACAACAACGTATAAAAAAAGTTTAAAACGGTAAATATCGAAAGAAATTATTTTTTTAAATCGCTAAGTATTTAAGTTATTTGCTATATTGCTAAGGAAACCTGTTTCTCTTGTGCAAAGTATTTTTAAGAAATTTGAAGTCTAAAGGAGCAGAGCCTTCCAATTGAAGTTTTAAATCAGTTATAAATCAGTAACAAGAACTTGATTGGACTTTTAAATCAACTTTTTTCGGAGATGTAAATGACGTATATGCTCGACGCCGGACTTCATTACACTTTAACAGCATTTTAACCTTAAATAAAAAAAGTTCATTTTTATTTCTTGAAAAGATCAACTTAAGTAGTCATAATTGCAAAATGTTCACTTTTAAGCAGTGCTTGAATAAGTAATAATAAAAAAAAAAGTTTTTTAATGTTGAAGATGGAGAACCAACAATCACTATCAAAAAACCCCAGATAAAAAACATCATTATATGCAATCAAAAAATAAAAAATAGGTCTATATATATACATATATATATATATACATATATATATATATATATATATATATATATATATATATATATATATATATATATATATATATATATATATATATATATACATATATATATATATATATATATATATATATATATATATATATATATGTGTATATATATATATATATATATATATATATATATATATATATATATATATATATATATATATATATATATATATATATATATATATATATATGGGGTAGCCTATATGCAGCGAATTTAAGGGCCCTTGTTCAAAATTAAGGAGCTTTTTTTTAGTAATACCTATTGTAAAAAATATTTCTAGGGGAAGAGGCTCCATCCTATTAGCCATGGCACTGTATATATACATATATATATATATATATATATATATATATATATATATATATATATATATATATATATATATATATATATATATATATATATATATATATATATATATATATACATATATATACATATACAGTCGTATGCAGTAAAATAGTAGTGCGTATTTTATTTTTTTATCAACAAACTTTAAACATCAAAATATATTTTTCTATTGCTTGTTTTTTATTGTTATTGTATATAAACTACATGTTGTGATTATAATAGTATAAAAAAAATTTAAGAAAGATAATTGCTGCACTGTATGGTTTTAACTTTAAATATTATTGATTAAAGGTCATTCGTCCTTTTTTTTTAAACTGTGCAATAAAATAGTAGTGAAAATCATTTTTTATGAAAAGGTCAAAAAATAATTAAATTTTATGACAAAAATTTTTTTTTTTGAAGCTCTACATTAGTATTTTGTGGCATGACCTTTAATTGTAATAACCGCCAAGCATCTTCGTTGCATGGAATTAACAAGATTCTGACATTGTTCGACAGATATATTTTGCTGACTGTACTACGTCCCACAATTGATTACAACATCTTAGATTATTTTCAGAAACTGCTTGTTTAACATCAACCTACAAGTTTTCAATCGGATTTAGGTCGGGGGATTGTGCTGGCCACTCCATCACATCGATTATATTCTCATTAAACCACGATTTGGCTAACTTGCTCGTATGTTTGGGATCATTATCTTGCTAGAACAAAAATTTTAACGGCATTTCTTCTTCAGCATAAGGCAGCATGATCTTTTCTTTTTTTTTTTACATATACAAACCGATCCATAATACCTTCTATGCGATGTATAGGTCCAACACCAAAGTAAGAAAAACAACCCCATATCATCATTTTTGAACCTCCACGTTTGACGGTCTTTAATGTAAATTGTGGCTTATATGCTGCAGCCGTTGGTCTTCTAACATACTGTTTACGAACATGGGAACCAAAAATTTCAACTTTGCTTTCATCAGTCCACAAAACATTTCTCCATTTTTCTTTAGGCCAAGAAGCATGCATACATGCAAATTTTAAACGATTTTCGATATGTCTTTTACTCAAAAGTGGCACTTTTCTAGGTGTTCTTGCATTTAAATCAGCATGTATTAATCGTCTTCGAATAGTTGAGGTATTAACATTTAATTTTAGCCTTTCTTTAATTTTTCTAGAAATATAAATGGCTCCTTTTTGGCTAACGATACAATTCGACGATCTTCTATAGCGGTCGTTGATCTTTTATTTCTACGTTTTTCTGGTTTGGGTTTCTATTTTAAAGCATTACAAATCATTGTTGGTGAGTATCCAACCAGTTTTGTATTTGTTTGTAGGTTTTACTATGATTTTAAGATTTTCAATTAAATTACGAACTTCTTCAGTACAATGCTTAGAGCGCCCCATGTTTCTCTAAAATTTCAAAATTTTAGTAAGTGTATAAATTTATTTAATATCAAAATTATTTACTTCCTTATTGCTTATTATTAAGAACTAATAATAATTAGAATTTAATAAGTACAGTAATTATAAAAAAAAATTAATTTTTCACTACTATTTTATTGCATAGTCTAAAAAAAAAATACGAATGAGCTTCAATTGATAACATTGAAATTTAAAACCATACAGTGCTGCAATTATCTTTCTTAAATGTGTATATTAGTGTGATTCTATTTTTTAGTTTGTCATGCAAACTTTTTCTAAAACATGAATAATTGTATTGTAAGAGCAACTAAATAAAAAAAAAAATTTGAAAATTTTTGAAAGTCAAAAAAGGTTACTTTATGGAAATAAGACAAAACTATTCCCTTTTTTAAAGTCTTTTTTAATTTTATACATAAGCTATAGAAATACAACAAAGTTTATAAAGTTAAGTTATTTTTTATTCGAAATTTGCATAAACATTTCTGTTAAAAAAAAGTCTCTCAAGAGCATCATTAGACTTAGCCCGGCAACATCGGATGTCCAAAGCTCGGAGTCCTTTCTCAGCTACCTTATTTGTTCTATGCAAATTCTTGAATAAAATTTTAACATCATGAATATGTCTTGTAAGTGCTTCTTGGGCTTTAATGCAGCTTGATGTAGTTTCTTTTAAGTTTTCCCAGTTGGGTTCCTCTCTCATTTTAAACCATGCAAGTGACCAAGAACAGCTAATAAACTTAGCTATTTCTTTCAATAATGGTCGTTCTTCAGGAATTAGAAAGTAGCCTAACAAGACATATATTGCTCTGATGTTCCACCTTGCTGAGTGAGAACTTGGTAATTTTGTTGGTAGCTGCATTTTGGGTAAAATATTGTTATCCAAGTAGCGCCTAAATGCAATACATAACCTGGAAAAATAAACAACAAAATGGATCAACGCATTCATCAAATATACAAATCATTGATATTGAAAATAATAATTTTAAATAAAACAAACCTAGCCAATAGCTTGTAATCATCTCTCCAGGTTTTTACAGTAGGAGGAGGATAAGGTGTTTTATGCAGGGTATTGTATGATTCTTTCCATTGCGGGTACTTATTTTTTAGTTTCTGAATGCATTTAAAATCAGTTAGAGCAGGCAATTTTGATGGTGTTGGCAAGTAGGAAATTAACCATTTTTTTAAAAACAAGGTCCAAAATGTAAGCATTGCAGCCATAATAAGGAACAGGTCTGTTAAATAGCTTACATCTTAAAATCCCTACTACTCCACCAGAACCATCATAAGATCCACCTGAAGTAAGTGGAATAATTTATTTAATTGTACATTTAAAAATAAGTAATTTTAATTTTACTAACCTGTATTGAAAGAGCAGGTGTCACAAACTATAAGGGATATTTTATGCATAACATTATACTCTAACAATGTTTCTGTTATTATAGCTGATAGATTTTTAGATGTTCTGGTAGTATGTAATATTGGTCGGTCAGACTGAAGGGCGATGACCATGCGTTCCATTTTTTTAATCCCATAATCATATGGTGCCAAACCTTTTCCATCAAAGTGTATTATAAAGAATAATTGAACAGACAAAGCTTCTTTAAGTTTAAGTATGCGGTAGTGGCTTTATGCGGTAGTGGTGTAGTGGTAGAGCGCTCGCTTCATAAACGAGTGTTTCCGAGTTCGATCCCCACCACGTCCCTGGTAGTACCGCACTCAACTCGTTTCTCCGCGCAGCGGCCTTGTTCATCAAGGTTCATGTTTCGGAGTTATAGAGTTGAGAGAGGGTTATAACCACAAATAAGTAGCCTCCTCGTCTGTAGTGGCCTTCTTGGCCTTGAGGAGGTGAATTAAAATAAAAAAAAAAAAAAAAAAAAAAATAGAGATGTGACTTGCAACCTTTGACCAACTTTAAAAATAACCAATTAATTTGGAGTTGGAATATCACCATGGAAGTGTTTTAATGAGTGAGTTACACTAGCTCCTTTGTTAGTAGAGATACCAGCTTCTGCGCACATAATGGCGATTGGCATTGCCTTAAACCAAAAATAAAATTAATATAAATAAAAAAAGAAAACTATCTTTATTTCCAAAAGTATTATTACTCATTTTTGATTTAAACTTCTGTTTGGGTGGTTCGAACAAAGACTGAAAATCATCAGCATTATCATCATTTTCAGACCTTTATTCTGTGTAGAGTTGTTCTACATAATCAAGAATCAGGTTTTTTGGTATCAACTGACTGTTAGCAGGATGCTCAACAACTGTTTCGCTGTTTAATACAAAACTCTTTTTATTTCATTTTATTATTTCTATTACCCATTTGATGATTGTAGAAGATCTGCTCTTCTACAATCATCAAATTTATATTTTTATTAAGTATACAAAACGGCATAAAAAAATCCATATTCGATTTTCTCTTCAAACAAATTTTATAAGCATTCACAACTTCATTCAATTTTTTTGTGATGCAAGCTCTGAATACTGATGGCATGCTAAATTTCACGTTCCAGAGCTGCTCCAAATCTTTTGCTATTATTTGTATAACAGCTCTTGATGGTGGGGTGGGGCGTGTGTCAACTAGATGGTGATAGTAGCAAAGAATGTGCTAGACTTCTGGAATCGTCTTGAAATTGGCCAAGGATTTCGTCCATAATCCATAAGGTGCTGCTGAAGCAAGCAGTTCCCATGATTACTTTGAACACGGTGGTACTAAGTTGTTTGCTTTCCTCTTTAATGCTCCCTTAGCACTTATGTGGAACATATTTAGGTAAATATAATTATAACTAAAATAGAAAGTTGAAAACAGTTACTTTATTTCTACTCCACCAAGCTAATTTTATATTTTATAATTATAATTTTATATTATATTATATATACTTCAAGCTAATTTTACTATACTTCAAGCTAATTTTATATTATATTCACTATCAACTTCAAGCTAATTTTATATTATATTCACTATCAACTTCAAGCTAATTTTATATTATATTCACTATCAACTTCAAGCTAATTTTATATTATATTCACTATCAACTTCAAGCTAATTTAATAAATATCATACAAATTATCAAATTTTTTGCATAAGTATTTTGTCTTATTTCCATTAAGTAACTTTTTTTTTTGACCTAGTAAAATTTTCAAATTTTGAATTATTTTTTATTTAGTTGCTCTTAGAATACAACTATTCATGCTTTAGAAAAGGTAAAAAATAGAATCACACTATTGTGATATACAGTTGATATATATATATATATATATATATATATATATATATATATATATATATATATATATATATATATATATATATATATATATATATATAGCATCCTAGTCGTGACTTTCAGAGACATGTTTTTTTTGTTCTCGTTCTGTTTTTTTTTACTTTTTTATACTATTTTTATCATATTTATATACATTTTTTAACTTTTATTTTATTTCTATTTTTATTTATACATATTTAAATTTATTATTTTATTATAAAAATATATTTTTTATATTAATTTTTGCTATTTTTATTTATTTTATTATATTTCATTTTTAACTTCATCTCTTTACAAAAACAATTAATTACAATAATATAACCAAATTTAAACCTTGCTGTAACCATAACCCTAACCCAGGCTTGGTCGGGAAGCGGGTTCGATTGCACTCGATAACTGACGATGGCAATAATATTTAGTTGCAAAAAACCGGCCAGATTTTTTAGTTGTTTTGAGAACATTCAAGTTTATGTATGTTTCTTTTGTTGTTCGCAAAATAATAATTAAGTTCATTATTTTATCGTAAGTTTTAAAATATTTTATTTTACGGACTTACATGGAAGCATACATAAACTTGAATGTTCCTAAACATCTTTGCATGGAAAAATAAAATAAAAATATTCGCGAACACAAAAAACCTGCCAAATCTACAAACAACTAATTCTATTGGTTCAAAAAATACTAGCCAAATTTTCTAGAGTATTCAAAAAATATTAACCGAATGTTCAGAGTATTCTGTTGAAATAATAAAAAAAATTGTATTATGAGAGTTTTGTTATGTTTTCGTTGAGATTTCTAGCATAAATTGTTTTAAGAATATACTATCAAACGAAATATTATTTTAATACTATGGCTCATTCTCTGAGTCACATCTACAAAGCTATAAATGTTTTAAACTATCATTATTTGTTTTCAAAAATAAATGTTTTAAATTTATATTTCTTAACTTGTCAACGTTTTGTAAATACAAGGTGTGTTCAAAAATTAAGGTTCAAATTTTGCAGGCAACGTACTTTCGATCATCGATTTTTTTGTTTTGTTGTGTTGGTACACTCTTCCCGAACATCTGTACTAAGTTTCAAGTGTATAGCATTTTTTGTTTGGTTGTGAGAGGCGTAAAGGTTATAAGTGTTTTGCGTGCTCGGCGATTTTTTGCTGTTAAAAAATATGGATCAAAGGATTTGCATCAAATTTTGTGTAAAAAATAAAATAAAGTGCTCCAAAACACTTGAAATGTTGACAGTGGCATACAGTAAAACTGTTCTGAGTAAAAAATTGTCGAATCACTATTAGAGAAGTTGCTGAGGATGTTGGTATATTGCTTGGCATATACCATGAAATATATATATAATTTTTTTCTAACGGTTAGACATGAGACGTGTGTCAGCGAAGTTTGTTCCGAAATTGCTCAATTTTGATCAAAAGAACCGTTGCATGAGCATCGCTCAAGAACTGTTGAATGACATCAACGACGACCCAGATTTACTCAAAAGGGCCATAACTGGTGACGAATCATGGATATATGGTTATGAAATTGAAACCAAAGCCCAATCGTCCCAATGGAAGAGCCCAGGTGAGCCAAGACCGAAAAAAGCACCCCAAGTTTGGTCAAATGTCAAAGTTTTGCTCACTGTTTTTTTCGATTACCATGGCGTGGTGCATCAGGAGTTCTTACCATGTGGTTGTATGGTCAATAAACAATATTATCTTGAAGTTATGCGCCGTTTGCGAAAAGCAATACGAAGAAAATGTACAGAATTGTGGAAAAACAATTCATGGCTTTTGCATCACGATAATGCAGCAAACATTTTGGCGAGGCCTTCTTGAAAGTCATCATTTTAGGCGCTTTGATGATAAAAAAGTTTTTCTCTTTCTGTCTGAAAAGAGGTTGTTTAAGTGCAAAACAAAAATTTCGAGTTGATATAATTTTGAGTTGTTATTTTTGTGTAGATTTATAAAAAGACTGATTGCTTTTTAAAATAATCTAGAGTAGTAACAATAAAGTTTATTCTTAAAGATATTAAAGGCCAAAGAATGTAAAATAAATAATAATTTTTGTCTAACCAGAAATAAATGAATTAGAATAACAAATAAATTTTTCCTTTTTTGATTATTATTGAATATTCAGTTATAAATAATATAACATATTTAATAGTAATCTTATTTGGACATATTATGTTTTCAGCAATTGATAGGAAGGGTGCTCATAGGTGTTATATAATAAGTGTTCATAATGTACAATAATAGACATTAATTTTATAATAGAATACTGGCAAATATTTATAATAAAAAAATACAGTGTTATTAATACTGTAAAAACAATTGTCCAGGGTTAAATCATTTTTAAAATTGCATCAAAAGGATGAAAACTTAGATGTCACTATTGATAGCTTTTTTTGACCCATGGACAAACTTAATTATGTCTTGATAAATTTCAATCGTAAAATACTCTCTCTGCGCATTTACAGGTATAGTCAGTAAAATTCTATATGTTATAAATGCATCCGGAAATGGGTTTTGAATCTGGTGAATAAATCTCAAAATCGTTGCAGCTGAAATTGGTTTACTAACTTCAATTATTTTCGCTTCAGCCATTCTTACAAACTGGTTATACTTAACCTTAAAGCTTCTTTTATCTGTTTTAAGTACTAATTAAAACTATAAAGCCCACTCACTAAACATCATCAGCGGTATTGTGAAACAGTTCCGCTTCCTCCTTACAAAGTAATTTAACATTTTTAGTTAATTTCTATCTAGCTAATTGAATTTCTACATTAAATCAATGATTTAATTATTTCATTTGTTCATCTTACTAAGAAGAATTGTTTCAAATGTGTTAAACTTTTCAAACTACATGAAGCATAAAACAGTTATTGAAAAAACTTTTATATTTATAAATAAATCATCTAGCGTTAGTTCTATTTGTTGAATCTTGTTGGACTTTTCAGGGCCGGGGGCTGCATTATTTTGGTGGCCTTTTTTATATGCCACAGCATAAAAATGACTAAAAAAATACGGAATGGTCCTCTTGACTATTTCGCGACCCCTAACATTGTAAGTCCCGGGGCTATAGCCCTTCTATCCCCCCCCCCACACCTCCTTAATCCAACACTGAAAATAAGACATAAGTATATAAATTAAAATTATATATACTCTTTGATAAATCGAAGAACATTTGTTTATTTATTAAACAATCATTAATAGTAAGTTGTTACTTTATATGAAAAATGTCACTTAATTTTATAAAAAAAAAGTGGCATTTCAAAAATATTTGCTCTAATCGTATTTATTTTGCTTAAAGATTTTTCATGTTAAAAGCTTTTTACTTCTTTTAACTGTCTCTCATCGGTCCAAATAATCTTAGTGCGCTTTTTTGTTTGTTTTTGAAATGTTCTCAAAACGAATAAAAAATCTGGCCAGTTTTACGCAACTAAATATTATTTCCGTGGTCGATTATTGAGTACAATCACACCCGCTTCCCGACCAAGCCTGCCAACAGTATTCTATATCAAATATCATCATAAACTGCAGCTAGAAATATATGATTATCAAATGGTTTTACTTCTTGTTTCTGCATCAATTTTGAAATGTCTTCTATATAAAAGAGCAACGTTTCAAAAATATTTGCTTCAATCGTATTTATTTTGCTCGAATTTTTTCGCGTTAAAAGCTTTTAACTGTCTCTCATTAGTCCAGTTAATCTTATTGCGCTTTTTTTTGTTTGTTTTTGAAATGTTCACAAAATGACTAAAAAATCTGGCTGGTTTTACGCAACTAAACAATATTCTGTGGTCAATTATCGAGTGCGATCGCACCTGCTTCTGAACCAAGTCAACCCTAACCCTGACCTTGATGCCTGGCCTAACTAAACCCTCAGTCGATGTAGCAGCACTCCCTTGCAAGTCAGGCTATTTGATAGTCGATGTATATACTTTTTGTTCTCTATAAATGTCCCTGATAATGCTAATGTCCCCATAAGTGTTCATTATTTGTAAAACCTGTCCTTGTAAGTGAAATACTATACAAATATATATATATATATATATATATATATATATATATATATATATATATATATATACATATATATATATATATATATATATATATATATATATATATATATATATATATATATATATATATATATATATATATATATATATATATATATATATATATATATATATATATATATATATATATATATATATATATATATATATATATATATATATATATATATATATATATATATATATATATATATATATATATATATATATATATATATATATATATATATATATATATATGTAGACCATACGGGTAAAACCACAGATGTCATTTTGAAAAAATAAAATTTAGTGTTTAGTGACATTAGATATCTGTTTATTAATTTTTAATTAAAAGTATATTTTTCTGACATTTTAATTAAAATTTAATTAAAAGTTTTTAGTCTTTTTAGAATATAAAAACGCAGTTTTTGTACGAAATACAAGTATTTTTTATTTAGTGTTCTTTTGAAAACACGACAAACTCTTCAACCATAAATTACATTACCTTAAAAACCTTTTAGAGCACTTATTTTTCAAAGGTAGATGACAACACATTGTAATATACAACCACAATGTATTGAGTGTGTGATGGGATAATAAAGCCATCCCTCCATCTTTTAATAAAAAAATTCAAACAAAATATTATATGAAAGTTTTTTTTAACTTTATACAAAATAGCATTGGAACCTTATCTCTTCCCCAACCTCAACTATTTACCACAGATGATTCCATTATGCCTGTGTTCCATCACTTTATATCAAATTTGTATAAACCATACATAAACCAATTGTGAACAAACGTTAATAAAGATATTTTGTTTTTAAATTTCAAAGAAAAATAATAAAAATTAAAAAAAAAAAAGATCAAATAAGATCAAATAATGTCTTATTTTGTCCATTCAGAAAATGTTAAGATTTAGTAAGTCTAAATTTTCTACAAAAAAAAGACAACAGAGCTATGTATGCTTGTTTCAGTTTAACAGGCACTTAGATCCTTGATCTAAACATATGACAACAATAAAGAAGTTTGGCTTTGAAACTGCAAATTTCAGAAATTTTTCTTGCATTATGTTTATATACATTACTGAATTGTTATGGTTTTTTGTGAGATCGTCTAGTGTTTCTGCAAGAAACTTTTGATTTGCAATGGTCATTGTTTCTGTCATATTTTTTAGAGGTGTAATGCCTATACATAATGTGACAGAGTTCTAATTGGTAATGAAGCAGTAATGCTGTCAAGTTTTTCAGTTTTATAAACTAGATAATAAAACCAAATTAAAACTTTTCATTTTGTATTTTACCTAGCACATAAATTGCAAATCAATTTGATATCCTTTACACTTGAGACAATTGATAATTTAAAATCATGCAGCATAGAATATACAACATCAGACGATCTGTTTCCGACAGTTTCATCATAGCAATAAAAATATTATTTTTGAATTGAAAATATATTCGTGTTAAAAAAATAAAACAGGTTTTGCCTGGAATAGTATACATATTGGTATCAAACATTTAGGCATTAATTAAAGTTAGGCATTAATTAAAATAAATGTTTTTTTTTAAATGTTTTTCTGTGAACTTAATGTTGTTACCTTTATCCAAAAAATTTGTCATGTGAATAACGCTTTTATTATCATTGGTTTAGTTATAATTAACTTGGACAAATAGGTTTTTTATGCGGTAAACATTGGACAACAGTGGTTGTTTTAAAGTTGCTCTTTTTTTTAAATGACCATAGAACCTTAAAACTTAAAACATTTTTTTTGTTATGAATTTTTAAATTAAAATAGCTTAAATACTAAAATACCATAAAAATATATAAAACTTGAAATTTTCAAAAAGTGGACATTTGTTTTACCGGTGTGGTCTTCATTTATATACACACACACACACACACACACACATATATATATATATATATATATATATATATATATATATATATATATATATATATATATATATATATATATATATATATATATATATATATATATACATATATATATATATACATATATATATATATATATATATATATATATATATATATATATATACATATATATATATATATATATATATATATATATATATATATATATATATATATATATATATATATATATATATATATATATATGTTTATATATATATATATTCATATATATATATGCATATATATATATATATATATATATATATATATATATATATATATATATATATATATATATATATATATATTTTAAGTTATTACTCTAAAAAATAATATGCACATTTAAAAACATAGCAACATTAAGAATTTTTACTATTATTATATAGCTAAGATTTACAAACTCTTTTTCAGATATTTTCTTCTTTAGCTTTAATAATTATCTTGCCTAATGCTTTTAATTTCTTTTTACTTATTTAGATCTAAAAAATTAAAAACAAACTACATTAGGTTATAAATAATAAAATTATATAAAACTTTAATAAGTGATAAGTATGATGTCATAACATCTAGGTGGCGGTGTAGCTATCTCCATAACTGTAACATAACATAAGTATAGAACTCTCATAAAGTTAATCAATTCTATACAAATCTTCTAAATCAAGTTTGGGTATCTTTAAAAGTTAGCAACAAGCATATACTTATTGATTGTAAATATAGACCAAATAATGCTAATTTAATAAAATGTGTCTGTGAATCTTTCAAATTAGCTCATAGCTTGATTAGGAAGCCCTGTGATGACTGCTAGATAGTAAGTGATTTTTGCTTCCCGAATATAAAGTAGTCAAATGATAGTATTAATACTTTCATGCCAAACAACTCTACCAAGTATGATATTTACACAACATATCACATTTTCTACTTCATGACATCATATGGTTCCTCAAATAATGTTTAAATAATGCAAAAAAATAATAAAAAAAAATAATGCCTTGTTAACTAAACTACTTGTTAACTAAATTGTTATTAACCTACAACAGTAATTCTATTTTAAAATTGTTTCCTAATGCTATACTAGAAAATAATACTAAAAGTAATTTTAGTATCACTTGGAGAATGTCCTTAGTTGAATCTTTAGGAAAGCCCTTTTTTGTCACTATGCTACTGAAAAAAATATAAATATCACCCTATAGTCTTCTGCATATTTATAAATAAGATAAAAAACATACTTGATTTAACAAAGGTCTTATAAGTATGCTAGTCTTTTGTTGCAACCAGGGCTCTCCATCAACTTGTACAGGAAGATCAGCTTTTAACTCTAAATCAATCTTGACAAAAAAAAAAAAATAATAATAATAAAAATGTAATAAACAATATAATTATATTTATAAATTAATGCAAAAAAAATCTAAAAATAAATCATAAAATTTAAATAAGAAAAAATTTTAAAATAAATTTACTTGAGTTCCCTGAGCGATTCGAATCCCTGTAGAAAATCCACTTTTAATTTTCCCCTGAAAAAACAATATATTCCATATGTAAATAAATATTGATAACTAATTAAAAATTAAAAAGCATAAATTTTGTTTGCCACATTTGTGAACTTTTTTAATAAACTTATTCAGTTATGATTACTATGAGAAGTACTTTTAGGTTATCCACACGAAATGATTTTAGTGTGATTCTAAAAGATAATTTATTCACCAATAAATATGATCAAAATTTTATCATACTTATTATATGCTATTCTGTCTAACATCTACTAAACAAGATTAACAGTGTTTTATTTATCACAAAAGATTTACTAAAAAAGTATTACATCTTTCTAAATTGAAACCACAATTCAAAATAAATAATTTTTGATTTAATTCTTTTTAACATTTTGTTGAAATGACAATACAAAAAAACAAATATAACAACTATTTTATCCGTTTTTTTTATTTATATATAAAAACAGTTTAAACAGAGTCACACAAGTGAGAACAAAACTAGAATATTTAGTGCCTGCATTGACTAACACTGTCAAAATTACGATTTGTAATTTATTGAAATAATTTACAATAAGTAAATAAGTTTATGAATAGCAACAAAGAAAACAAATTTGTTTATATATAACTATTTGTATGATATTATTTTTCTTATTATCTCTTTAATGATTACCTGTTGATAAGGGGACATAAATTGTCTAATCTTTGTGGTTTCTTTTTTGTAATTACATTAATTTAATGTATCATTTAGTGATGGCTCCATTGATTGCAACTGATAAGTTTATTAATTGTCACTTTTTAAAGTGTTTTTAAATAACAACAAAGATAACTGTTGTTTAATATTATTAATCTTTTTATTATTTACTTACCGAACTGTGGTAAGTTTACATAGAACTTACCGACATGTAAGTTTACACTTTAATATTTAGCTATAAAACGCATTATATTTGTAGGTCTATTATTTGTATAATTACACTTTTTTTGTATAATCTTTAGTAATGTCTTCATCCTTATGTACTAGTGAGACCTTTTTAAATCATTTTTAAAAATTTTCTATACATTTCATACAAATTTTCTATATTTAAAGTTCTTCTGAATAGATAAATCATCTTAAAACGGCTTATTATTATATTATTCAAACATTACCTTGGTCAGGAAAGCATGCGATTTCATGGCTTTATATGGCCGCGCAAATAAAATTTTATTTTGACGATTTGACCACAGTTTTAACATTTTAATAAAGTGCTGAAGTTAGTTATAAAGAAACTAAAAAAACAAACTTATTTTTAAAAAAGAAAAAAAATCTTCTTAAAAAAATAATGAGAAACTAAATAAAAATAGCTTAGTAATAAATAACTAAAACAAAAAAAAAAAAAAAAAAAAAAAACTTTTCTAAAATAAAAAATAAGATTATTGCGTTTAAAATAAATAACTTTGAATCTTTTCTAATGTTTTTATAATGTAAAACTAGTAGTGTCCTGCCTGCTTTGTTACTGCACTATATAAAATAATATTAATAGTAAAAAAAATAATAATAATAAATAGCACTAATTAACAAAAAAATGTAAATAAACACTTTTGTTTTTCTAATAAACTTGTTATGGTGCATAAGTGGTATTTAAAAAAAAAAACAATTTAACTTAACGAGAAACTATTTTTAATGGCACTTTTTTTGGGAGAAGAAGGGGGAGGGGACACGTTTCACAAAAATGACTACTGACTTAGGAACAAAAAAAACATGCCTTTGCTTTATTATATAGACATAGCGAAATCCTATTAAACAAAGTAACAACTTTCAACAATTTTTTGATAAATAAGCACATTTAAAAGATAACAACAAAAAAAAACTTTACAATTATTTGTAGTAATGTAAACAAAAGAAAAGTAATTTAATCTTTTCTTCTGTCAGAAATCCTATATCAGAAAGCAAATGAGGAAAAGTGAAATAAAGTGAAAAATTGAAAAAATGAAAGAAGAAAATTATGTACAGTCAAAAACGAAAAATAATGAACTTAACTATTCCTTTTATCAATAACTTGATTTAATTTGTTAATAATTTAAAGTCTTTTATTTAAAGACGAAAGAAATATACATTAATACTTTAATGTAAAAAAATCATTAGCATTGAATTGCTACTTTATTTAAAAGCGTTTTAATAATATAAAAACATTAGTAAAGATCAAAGTTTAATTCAAATGGCTGTCTTCATAAGTTCATTTTTTTCATAAGTTTCATAAGTTTGTCATTTTTTCATAAGTTTGTCATTTTTTTCTTCTCAACATTCATAATAATTCATAAGCTTGTCATTTTTTCTTCTCATAATTCATAAGTTTGTCATTTTTTCTTCTCAACAAATTCTTTTCGAGTGTATTAACTTTAATGATTCTTAAATTAAATTTATTGAAGAGACAATCTTTGTTTAAAGTCATCACTTATAAAATTTGAATAATTAAAAAATAAATAACATTAATTATAAAAAAATCTTATATATTACTTTATTTATTAATTATATAATCTTATATATATTTAAATAATATAAATAAAAATTTATACAACTTTCATCTATACTTTATATTAAAGCGTTATCAGTAACTGCTATTTTATTTGAAAGCATTTTGCAAATATAAAAATGTTAGTTAAGATTTAAAAGCTTTAAAGTTATTTATTTATGGCGTAATTAAAAAAAAAAAAATTTCAGCGCATTTTTAAAATAATAAAAACCGAAGTCAAATTGTCAAAATAAAGTATTATTTGCGGATCGTCATATAATGTCAAAATAAAGTATTATTTGCGTAGTCATATGCGATTGCACGTTCTTAAAAGAAAAATAGACGAAATATACGGATCGTGACACAATTGTTATTACATGTTGTTCAACACTAAAGTTTCTGGAAGCTGAATATTACCAATTATTTGGAAATGATTGTATAGCAGAAAATTGTTTTGGCTATAAAAAAAAAAAAGTTTTAAGATACCAGCACAAAAGGATTTGTAAATTTTTACCACAACAAAAATTTAGCATAAGGTATCACTTTAGTATTGCAGAAACTGCTGTTTCTGCAATACTTTGAAGTGATACCTTCAAATTCTGTTACACACGTTTCATTTGAAAAAGCCACTTTTGATCATGTTTGTGATATTACAATAATGAAAATTTTTTTTGCAATTACTGATTGTAAAAGTAATCCAGCTGCAATGTTTACCAAAAAGATGTATTTGTTAGGAAATAGACTCTAACCAAATATTTTACAATCGATAACAATTATATGCACAATTGATAACGAACTTACTGTCATGATGACTGATTGTTTCATTGCAGTAGAAGTTTTAAATTGACAATATAAGTGTTATTTTTTCATTACTATTACAAAAACATTTCAAGAGGACACAGCTAGTGCAAGGCTTCATAATTAAGACAGTGAAAAGGTAATGGGAATGCTTAGTGCTACAAAAGGAAGTTCCCTAATGCTACAATTGGCTATATCTCTTCCAAACTGCAAACCAAAAAAAATAGAACAGTGGATTTTCTAGAAAATCTTGATAACTCTAGAAAAAGGGTATTTATATGAGCAATTCAAGTAAGACGTATAAAACAAATAAAAGCACCAGTATGGTGAAATTAGAGCTGAAACGGCTAAAAAACAGTGAGATTTTAATTTTAATTCACCTCCTCAAGGCCGAGAAGGCCACTACAGACGAGGAGGCTACTTATTTGTGGCTATAACCCTCTCTCAACTCTATAACTCCGAAACACGAACCTTGACGAACAAAGCCGCTGCGCGGAGAAACGAGTTGAGCGCGGTACTACCAGGGACGTGGTGGGGATCGAACTGTTAAAATTGAAATGTTAAAAAATTGATGAACAAGAAAAAAAGACAGTTAAAGCAACAGTTAATAATAAGTGTCTATAAAATTCAAAATAAAGTGTCTGTGAAATTCAAAATTTATTTAAAAACTTTTCTACTAAGCAAATTGAAGATTTAAATGCTGTTTTGTGTGAAAAAATTGCTGGAGGGACACATTGTCATAAATGATATGATATAGATTGAACAATAAAGATCTTGTATAATTTCAGAGTTTCAAAATGATACCAAAGAGCATCTTTTACACTACTTCTTAGTGGACTACAGATGAAAATGATTCAGAAGCTGTTGACCATGCATGGAAGAACTCCAGCTAATTGCTGATATTGTATCAGGGAATTAAACATATTCGTAATTTCAATATGCTACCATATGTGATAACATTAATTGTTTTATTTTAGTGGAACTTGCAAAAATAAATGTACAGCATATAGCAAAACTTGCAATATAAATGTACAACAAGTAGTGGAACTTGAAAAAAATGTCAATTTGTTTTAAAACAATTTTTTTTTAGGTTCAAAAGCAGTGGATTCATTCGAAACTCTGTTTTGCCTGATTTTTCTTGGTTTTTCAGAGTTCAAGAGAAATCGAGAAACTTCAACGAAACTTTGACGAAGTTTTTAGAAAACATCAATTTTTTACTGGTAAAATAAATAAGTTCTTATTTTATTTCTATGCTGTTTTTACAATAGTTTTTGTTGTTTTCAAAATGTAAGTATTCTCTTTGTTCAATAACAACACTAATTTACATTGCAAAGCAATTGGTAATGCACAGTGGGCCAGGAGATGGTGGTGGAAAAACTTCAAAAAAAAGTTTATTCTATTCAAAACCATATATCAAAACATTTTCTTACTTTTCCATTGTACTATTTCAAAAACTCTTTTGAGTATAATGGTATCTTTTTAATAACAGTATTTTTTTAAACCCACAAAAATTAATTGCGGTATAATAAAATGTAATGCATAATAAAATTACCTTGTTATTTTACGACCAAATTTTTTTTGTCAAAAAAGCAAGAATTTTTTAATTTTTAAGCAAAGATATAGTAAACAGTAACTTTTAAAATATTATGCAAATGAGATATTAGTTAATATATTTTAAATATTCATTAGTTTACCTTTACAAAAAAAAATATTTAGTCAAGATCATTATTTCTAACATATACAAAAACTGGTTGTAAAATAGTGAGATAAGTTTTAAACATATAACACTTTTATTTTGTACAAGTAGTGTCGTATATTGTATGATCAAAATAAATTTGTCCACCATAAGTCTAATATCCGGCCCACTCTGCATTGTGACAAATTGTGTAATAAAATGTTATCAGTGATAACAAGTGATAATAACCAATGTTTAATTATACTTACCTATTAGAATAAATAACTTAATTAATAACTTAAAATGCGATAACTTATCACAATTAAAATAAAGTTAAAAACAAATATCTGAGGTCATAATCATAATGATCATCTTTCTTTCATAGAGAAAAATGGTTTCAGAAACGTGAATTACTTTGATAAAGTTGTGGTAAATGATAAAAAATATGCAGAATATTACAAAAAATGTCATAAAAGAATTGCTTGCCAGCACAAGCAGCACAAACGGCCTAAATGGACACGTCAAAATTTGCGAGAAAATAGATTCAAAACCATTCAGTTCCAGACCACTTTTGACTAAGATGCCGTTAAACTATCATGCCAAGTTGACAGCTTTTGATGGATATTCAATTAGGTCCATAACTCAATCTGAAACACTAAGAATACTTTTTGAAAATTATGGGCATAGTTTGCTGAAGTCAGCGTCCACAATTTCAGAAAAAATTTGGATGTTTCATGCTAAAGCAAAATATTTAATGACCGCTGAATTGGTTGCATTGAAAGCAAAATGAAAAAAATTTGAACTAACTGGTGACGAATAGTGTAGCAATAGAGGTAGAAGATACTACAATTTAAATGTTCATCACAACAGAATGTATTGTTTAAGAATGGTGAGATTGCCATCTCCTAGTCTCCGAAACATTAAACATTTTGATAATGGAAAAATTAAAAGAATTTGGTATAGATAGTGAAGATATTGCAGGTAAAACTATGGATAGCTGTAGGTGGATGGTGAAATTGGGTACCATATTGAAGTTTCCACATCAGATCTGCCAGAATCATTCAATTCATTGAGTGTTTGTGATTTGATATACACTAAAAAAAATTGTCACTATATTGTGAACAATGAAACTGAATCGGATATTGAAACAGAAGCGGAAACTGATGGAGAGACTGAAGAAGAGTTTCTTATTGACTATTCAGAGAATGAGATTGAATATGAAGTAAATATGGAAAAAAGCCTACAAAAACTTCGAATACTAATTAAGTTTTTGATATATTTATCGTTTCAATATTAAGTTCTTAAAAGAAAAAATAGACAAAATATACGGATCTTCGCAGGACAAAGGGCTGTTGCTCGACAACCAAACAAGATGGAACAGTGTTTTTCAGATGATTAAAAGACTTTTGGATTGCTTAGAAGCTGTAAAAAATAAAAAAATTAAAAAAAAAAATGCTCAAAGAGTTAAACTGCTGAAACGTGTTAGATTGGAAAAACCAAATGCAGTTCGCTTGGAAAAACCAAATACAACAATTTTGGAGTGTGACATTATTATGGAAACGTTAGTAAAGAAATTGAAGGTTGTAGAAACTGATTAAAACAGTTCTAGTTTTGCAGAGGCGTTAATCTGTAAATACAAAACTCATTTAAACGTTTTGTTGGTATTATTGAGTCATTATTTGCACAACCCTGATTTTTTAAAAATAAAAAACCACACATTTTTTTACGCTTCTAAAAAAGATATTCAACTTTATGCTGCAAAATTATTTGATCAACTATTTACAACAAAAGAAAATAGTCTTCATCAAAAATCAGCAAACAAGGAGAACCATCACAATCGACATCTTTTTTTGCCAAATTTTCAAGAAGTTCTAAATCAAAATCAATCAGCAGCTATAAAGCCAAAAAAAGTCAAGACCTTCACCATTCAGTTAAAAGAATATGAAGTAACTGGTGTGAAATCAGAAGCAGTTTTGAAATTTGAACTAGCCATTCACAGAATTCAAGTAACTTCCTCAGAAGCAGAAAGAGTTTTCTCCTCATCTTCCAGATTTGTTTCGTAGTTCCCTTTCTGATGAAATGATAGATGTTTTGATTTTTTTTAAATATTATTTAAAAAGATCTTCAGAATAAATACTTTTTTTAATTTTTACTATAGGTGCCCCAAAAAGTCTTTATTATTAGATAAAACTTGTTCGTTAAAAAATTGTGATAAAAAAAATTTAAGTATAAAGTAATATAAAAATATACATTTTTTAAAAATTTATTATGAATTATAAATCAATATATATATATATATATATATATATATATATATATATATATATATATATATATATATATATATATATATATATATATATATATATATATATATATATATATATATATATATATATATATATATATATATATATATGTATATATATATATATATATATATATATATATATATATATATATATATATATATATATATAAAATAAAAAAATACAAGACCAATGTTTAATTATCAACTAGATAGTTTAACTTTTTAATTTATAAAAAAATATTATTGAAACTCCGATTTTTTCTCAACTCCAGCGGAGTTTTTTCTCGATTTCTCTCGACTTTTTTTTCGAATTTGGATCCATTGTACCATTTATTTTATTTGTTATAATACATGTATTGTATGTTCTATTATAATACATGTATTGTATGTTCTATTATAATACATGTATTGTATGTTCTATTAAAACACATGTATTGTATGTTCTATTATAATACATGTATTGTATGTTCTATTATAATACATGTATTGTATGTTCTATTATAATACATGTATTGTATGTTCTATTATAATACATGTAATGTATGTTCTATTATAATACATGTATTGTATGTTCTATTATAATACATGTATTGTATGTTCTATTAAATGTTACAATATATTTTATAACATACAAATAATGCATTTGAATACATTTATGAAAAACATATATGAATAATATAAAAGTAACAATAAATGAGCTTACTAAATGGTAAACACCTGTAAATCCAACTACCTCCAGAATACTATCAGAATATGACGGAACCTTGAATTTCTAAACCAAGATTAAAATTTGAAAATATATCATGTTCTAAACCAAGAATAATATTTGAAAATATAAAATGTTTAAATAAAAGAACTTTTAAAGCAACAATTTTAAATAATTTTAAAAAACAAACAATTTTAATGTGATTTGTCACTTTATGCAAGTTTTTTTCAACAATACTAGTAACAACAAAGTGCTTTTTATTTTCCTTATTTACTGTATATTAGTGCATGTATATTTGCCCTATTTAAAAGCAGCCTTTTTGACAATATTATACAGTTATGTAGAGTTAAATATTATGTAACAGTTAAAGAAATAAAACTCACTATGATTTATTTTTATTTATATCTTTTATTTATAACTTTTGTTTATAACTGATATAATGACATATTGTAAAACAATATTTATAGTTATCTGATTTGTTCAGCAAGAACAACAATAAAAAACAAACTAATAGCAAACTATAGTGGATAATATTAAAAGTAGTATTTAAAAAGACACTCATGCAACTGAAAAAATATCTAAATTGTCATTTTAAATCTTTTTAAATCTGTTTTAAATGTTTCTGTTTTTTAAATGTTTTGAATTTATTTTCATGTACACCAGAATATATGTATAAAAATAAAAAGTTAAACTTAAATTTAAAATTAAACAATATATTTCTATATATTGTTTAAAAGTCTGAACAGCTGTTATTTATGAAAAAAAAAATCAAAAATTATTAACCTCATCTACATCTTTGCCCCAAGGATCTGAACCTCCACCCCAACTAAAATAAAAATAGTAAATTGAAAAAATATCAACTAAAAAAATTGCCATCATCATCATCATCATCATCATCATCATCATCATCATCATCATCATCATCATCATCATCATCATCATCATCATCATCATCATCATCATCATCATCATCATCATCATCATCATCATCATCATCATCATCATCATCATCATCATCATCATCATCATCATCATCATCAGCATCATCATCAGCATCATCACCTCACCTATTTATATTAACAATTGCTAATCCTTGTATGGCGGGAAGTTTACAATCTTTACCATTTACCTAAATTTTAGTTGAAAATTATAATTTTTATAAATTATAGTTTACAGATAAAAAGTTGTTGTTATAACTAAATGATGAAAAGAAAAGAGGTTAACAAAACATTTATTTTATTTATATTATTTATATTTATATTATTTTTTTATATTTATATCATTTTTTTATATTTATTTTTTTATATTTATATCATTTTTTTATATTTATATCATTTATATCATTTATTTATATTATTAAATTTTTTTGTAGAAAAAGATAATAATATCAACCACAAAAAAAAAAGGTATATACTTTTTTGACATGTTGATAAAGTTGTTGATAAAGTTTCCTTTTTTATTTGTATATACAAATAGAAAAAACAGGATATACTAAAAATATACCTTTAAAACCAATTTATTCTGTAAATCTGTCATGCTATTTTTTGCAAGTTTACGAATTCCAGCTTTAAAATAGACTCCCTTATTGTGTATCCTTAAAATTAATAGTTAATAGAAAATAAAGCAAATTAATAAAAAACAATTTTTAATCATGAGACTAAATTTGCTGGCACTAGACAGAAAATAATATTTTTGTGTTACAACCATGTACTTTGACATATTGTTGTAAAACAGGTTTACAAAATTTAATTTTAACAACAAACTCAATAATGTATATATACATACATACACAGTAGAATCCCCTAAAAAGAAAACCTATATAAGTCGGATTTTTACGAAGTCTAAGAAATTTTCAACTTCCCTTAAATTCTCTATACATATCAAAAGCTTCGCTTATCTTGGACAAAATATATATACCCATTCAGAGTCCAAGTTAACAGTATTCTACTGTATTATATATATATATATATATATATATATATATATATATATATATATATATATATATATATATATATATATATAAGATTTTTACTAAAAATGGACATTCCTATAAACAGTATTCAGATATTGCTAAAAATTATAAAATACTCCACAAATCCATCTTTTTCTCAAAACTTTGATACCAAAAATCTAGTTATTCTACCATGGGTCCCAAAGTTAAGCCTTGTTCTTAGAAGAGAACTTCGTGAAGTCAGCGTTAAAACAGTCTTCCGTTTTGGTAATCCCTTAATCAATATACTTTGCCGTAACAAGTCTAAACTTTTGAAAAGGTTTGGCACGCTGGTCTTCTACATAAACTTTCTTCTTAAGTTGTATCTGGTAACATCTTTAAGATTATTGAACTCTTCTTTTCCAATGATAGTAAAAAAGTTGTCCTCGATGGACAGCACTCTTCATATTCTGTAACTTCAGGGGTTTCTCAAGGTTCAATCCTTGGCCCTATACTTTTTTTCCACATCTAAGGTGGCATTGTTTCATGCTATTTAATTTGATGCTGGCAAAAAATGGAAATAAGAATAATTTTAAACTTTTTAATCAACTCTTCATCCACATTAGTTATTTTTAGCCAATTAAGTAAATTTTTTGCAAAATTAGCAAATTTTTCAATATTTTCAAATGCTCAGCATGCTGTTGTTGGTACTTCAGAACCTCCTACCTTTGTTTATCCATGTGAAGGTGTAAATTTTCGAAAAACAGTTGTATTTTTTTTTCTACATAAAAAAATTTTCTTTTTGTTAGTACCTCGAATTTGCCATTTACACAATTCATGTCTATATGATATGTGGACAATGCATTCAAAAAATCTTATCCAAGCACTTAGTGGCCTAATGCCATACTGTATTAGGTTTAGGGTTAAATAGTTCTGTGGTTTAAAGTATTAGGTTTAGGCTCAAATAGTTCTGCACTTTAATAAAATCAATTGGAGTAGCTCCATATATCGGACAAGTTTGGTTTGATTTTGTTGCAGTTTTTTAAAATTTTGCCATCAATTAGAGTCATAAATAAAGTAAAGCTGATTTGAACTTTTTTATTATTAGACAAAAAAATCGTTATTGGCTCTAACTTATCTATTTGTTCGTCAATACTCTTTTTTTTTTTAAATGTGTTCTATGGATTCCTTTATGTATTCAATTTTGAATGTTCTACAAAACTGCACAGATCGAGCAGTGTGATTGTTCCATAAGATTTTATCATCTTCTGAAATTGTCACAAATAAATTTGAATCAGAATGACAGCCAGCAATACCAAACTTTTGCTTATAGGCTGAATGACCAAAAGTGCCATCAAAACTATAACTAAATATTATCTCAGCTATAATTTCGTTAGTATTAAGGGATTCCATGTGCTGAAAAACCACTTTTTCTTGTAATTGTACAATACGACTCACTGTATAATCTAATAAATTCATTAATGGTACTTGTGCAATGATATTGGAAATTGATATACCATTTGGTCTACATGCCGATTTACATTTCCAAATCTCTTTGTAATCAGGGTACAAATTACAATTTTTAGTAAAAGCTCCTTTTCTAATGTTTTGATATTGTTGTTTACTTAAATTGGAATCCAAAATTAAATCTAATGCTTCTACCACTGTATAACATAGTTTTTCTTTTTTTGTTGAAAATATAGTTTTTTGAATTTTAGTTGGGCAAGATGGACCTTTGTTCAATTCTTTTTAAACCAATGCTAAATCATGTTTCTTTTACTGACATGTAGCCATACCTGCTGCTTATAATATAAGAGATGTTTTGTGCGAATTATCTCAACATAAATAATCTCAATTCTTAGTTTTAAATCGGCCCATTGTTCTTTGGCTATATGACCTTTTTTTTTTAAAAGAGTTGCACAAACGATATATTTTCTTTAGCATATTATTGCTAACAATATGCTAAAGAAATCAATTTCAACTATTTGAATAATGTGCTTAAAAACATTTGAGTTTTTCTCATTTTTATCTTTCTTTTCCAGTCATACATTAAATAAATCCTCGTATTTGAAGCAGTACATCACTGCAAACAAATAAACATACTTTTAATTGGGGCAAATAGGGGCAAGTTTTGAAAACTAGAATATATTTATGAAAACTAACAAAATTTAATCATGTAAAAATATTTTTGGAGAAATACAGAGATTTTTTTAAAAGTCAATTTAAAGTTTTGAAAAAAGTAATGAATGAAGAAATACTTCTACGCACTTATTACTTTTACATAATATAATAATGCAACATTTTAATTTAATTAAAATTTTTTTAAAAATATATACCTGAATAAAAAATCACTGCAAATTTATTATTTTGGTGGACATAAATCTCATGAACATAAATACATTTTACTGTTGTTAATTAAAATATTTGGGTGTTACTAACTAACATGTTGGGGTGTTGTAAGTTATTATATTCGGTTGTTGTTAATTAACATATTAGTATGTTGTTAATTAATATATTGGAGTGTTGTTAATTAACACATTGGGATGTTGTTAATTAACACAATGGGGTGTTGTTAATTAACACATTGGGAGTATATGTTATTTGACAATAATAAAACAATTACAAAAAAGTAATTGTTTTATTATTGTCAAATAACATATACTTTATTTATATATATTCAGTAACAAGTGAGAACTTGAGTGTTTAAATAAATTAATAAATAAAAAATGCACAAATATTCAATAGTATATTAAATAGAATATTTTTTAAATTCATAATACTTGATTTAAGTATATAAGCAGTGCTTGAAGTGGGGCAGGATGTGGCGGGATGCTATATCGCCACCTTTTTATAAAGTATAAATCATCCCGCAACCATTTTATAAATCTATATATATAATAATAATTAGGTAGGATGGTTTTTTTATTTTAGTGTATACCATTCTGTTACTTTTTTTTCTCCACTTCGAGCACTGTATAAAGCATGCATAATAAAAGCATAAAACTTGTTTCTCCACACAGCGGCTTTGTTTGTCAAGATATGTGTTTTGGAGTTAAAGAACTGAGAGAGGTTTGTAACTACAATAAAATAACCTCCTCACCTATAGTGGCCCTTTTGGCTTTGGGGAAATGAACAAAATTTAAAAAAAATAAAAAGTGATTTGCACTTTGTGTATTAAAATTAATGAATTGCACCTGCTGCTAAACTTTTCTGGATGTTCTTCCCGAGCCTCATGAAACTCTAAACACACCTCTGCATCAATACCAATGCTGAAATAGTTGTTCATAGGAACATACTTGACAGGATCTTTACTTAAAATAGGAACACCACTAGGATTGTCAAACATAATACTCCACCTAATCAGCAAACAAAAATATACATAAGTTTTTGAATAGAACGTGCAGAGATGCAATTAGCTTAATTTAAAAATAAATTATAAATATAAAAACTAAATTTAAATAAAGAATAAAAAAAACTTAATTTAAAAACTAAAAATCAATATATTCGTAAACAATTTTTGTTCAGTTAATAAAATATTCAGTTAATTTTATACTTGTGGTTATGATTTATAATATCTCTATATATTATTGCCAAACTTATTAGTGTTAGTAGTAGTGTTAGTACCCATTTGAGAGTGTTTGACATGGAACCTTTGGCAGCCATTGCAACCAAAGTAGTGGCAAGGAAGCATAACAGTACATTATTTTGTAAGCAAACGTGAGGGAAAGTATCTAATATATCAAGTTTTACAGTTTAACTTTCAATTGAAAATTGCATTGCGTTAAGTTCTCCCTAATTTTGATCTATAGCATTTATTTCCGTTAAAAAAATCACTATATAGCTTTAAAAATTGTTGATTATTAACTTGTTAGTATAGCTGTGTGGATAGTGCACCGAGCTCCAGAACAAAAAAGCTGTGGTTTGAGTCCTACCACAGGCAACTTTTTTTCTATTAATTTAAATACAAAATACTTTTAAAGTTTTATAGAGAACATATACAAATATATGTAGTGATATTATACACTTTAACAAACGAAAAGATTTTTAAAAAAGCTAAAATTTCTAAAAACATCGGAACACCGGGAGAAAATATTTGTTGTGTATGTGTCATGATTGAGATACTTATATTATTAATTTTTCAGAAAATTAGTCCTAATAAGCTGCAGATGGTCTGAAAAAAAATTGTCGGAAACTTAATAAGGAAAAAACTTAATAAGACAGTCCTGCTACTCCAAAAGCTGCTGTGGAGGCAAAAAAAAAAAAAAAAGCCTGTCTCTAGAAAAAACTAAAAGTTTTTTTTTGGTAATTATTTTTTTACTATTAATATATGCTGCAGCTGTTTTTCAAAATGCCTTAATATGCTTATTAGGTATTTCGAGAAAAATGCAATAAAAAAAAAAATTATTAGCAGTCTTTGTAAAAGGTTTTTTGAAAAAGGATTAATTAATACATATTTGTATTTGTATTGCTGTATTGAAACCTGATATTTAAATTAAAGTAAAAATCATGTTAACAACATTAAGTTCATAAAACCTGTCAAACAATATTGGTTCAGCATTTTCAACCAACTGCAGAATACTAAGAGGAGGTTCACCTGCATATCCAGCGCCCCAGTTAAGCACTCGTGCAAGGTCATTACCTAAAACAAGTAAGGAATATTTCTTATTATTCTCAGTTCTCTAAGTTATTATTTTTTTATTGTGACAGTTTGTTTAATAAAACAATCATTTTAATTTTTTAAAATTTTAACCACAACTCTTCCTTAAAGGGATCCCAAACTCCAAACACATATTGTGTTCATATTAATGATAATTTTGAAAAAAAAAGTTTGAACCAAGTTTTTTTGATTAAAAATAAATAATGAATGCAAATTAGTCTTTAAATTATACGTTCCAATTTACAAACTTTGGCAATTCCTTTGAAACGCATTCAATTCATAAATGTTTTAGTATTTGATCTTACGGTAGACTTTTGAGAAATAAAACTCTGGAAAAATTTTTATTTGTTTTTATTCATAAATTTTTTCATTATTTGTTTAGTTATTTATTTTCTAATTTTAACATTTACAAAGATATTAAAAACCTCAAATATTTTATGCTGGTTTGTTGCTATAAATTGTTATTGCGCTATATTTAATGTTAATAAATGATGAAGTACTTATTATCTCAATCAGGATTCTGATTGTTTTATATTAATTACCTGTATTATTATTAATTAATTATCCGTATAAAATAAGTAACAGCATTTTTATTTGGTTAGACAATATTTTGTCTGAACTTGATTTGCATGAAGTACGAGAAGTCAAACAAAAAAACTTAGTTTAAATAATCATTTCAAAATATATTTAAAACAAATGATTTTAATGATGAGGTTACTAAAGTTTTTTTTTAACAAAAGTAGGTAAAAAATAACCAACTAAATAAAAAGTTCAACATTAAAAATCAAAAAATCAAAAAAGTTCAACATTAAAAATTTTTTTATTATATTGCAACTGTAAATATTGAAATATTAACTTGAACTAAATTTACTTATTAATTAGAACAACTAAGCAATAAATAAAAAGCCCCTAATATTATGCGATATTGTGTTGTTTTATTCTAAGATCAAAAAAAGCCCTAGGAATATATTTGTTCTCATAGTATGGAAAATATATTCCGAACTATTCTAACTTTGCGCAAAGTTTTCACATATTCACAAAATTTATCTTATTTTGCCATGTGAGAATATATTAAATTAAACTTATTTTGAATGTGTTTTTATGTGTTTTTAAAGATGTGTTTTTATTTTATGTTTTGTTTACAAAATTGTAATTATTATGACTAAAGTTTATTGGCAAACTTGTATTTGTCAATTTTGATAATTTTTTTATTTTTCATGTTAAAGGACAAATGCCAAATACAACACATAAATTGGAAAAAACCAAATATAATATGTTTTTTAATTGCACGTTACAACATTTTGACAAAATTAAATCAGCATAATTAAAATTTTTTTATAATTAAAAAATTCATCTATAACTAATACCAGGCTTTCACAGGAAGACATGCGATTTCACGTCCTTATATGACCACGTAAGTTACATTTTGCTATGATCCTTGGCTAATTCAAAAAACATTTTAGAAACGTGCTAAATAAAAAATATTCTAAAAAAGTGAAATTAATTACATTAAAACTTCTTAACAAAGAAGTTTTGATGTAATTTTAATGTAATGTTTTTATATTAGCAAAACGATTTTAAATAAAGTAACAATTTACTAAAAAAAAGTTTTGTTTTTTAAATAATTGACAGTTGTATATACTTTTTTAATTTAAAACATATAAATTGTTTAAGTGATCATTTCTAAAATAAATCATATTAAAAAAAAAAAAATTGTTTTGTTTTTATAAACGATGACATTCTACAACTACGAAAGCCTCTTTAATGAATTTAAATATAAGAATGATAAAGTTAATTCATTTAAAAAGATTAACAAAATTTCGTTAAAAAAAAAAGTTTTAGAAAACCGTTACAATTTAATAAGTTTGATCATAAATGCTTTTATTTTATCGAAACGCTTTTAATAAATTTAAAAAAAAAAAAAACACTTTTAATTAATTTAAAAAAAAGTATTTATAAAATGTTTTTTTATTTTATTTATATAACTATGTATTTTTTATGAGAAGTATTTAACTTTTAAACATTAATTAAACAAATGATATATATAAAAATGTTGAAACAAAGATTGAAAAGGTTTTTAACGCGTAAATTAAATTGACTAAGCATTTAAGTTTGATGAGTTTTGTTGTAGTTGCGTATATATATATATATATATATATATATATATATATATATATATATATATATATATATATATATATATATATATATATATATATATATATATATATATTTGTGTTTTTGCTTTAACTAAGTATTTTTTTTATTATTTTATCTTTCGTTAATATTTATTATTTTTAAAAATTTTTTTTCAAATAAGTTTAGGTAAGTTTTTGTAGCGCATTTTTAAATTTTAAAAATATGCCGTGGTCAAATCGTTAAAACATTTTTTTTTTTGCGTTGGTCATATAAAGACATGAAATCGCACATCTTCCTGTGAAAGCCGGAATACTGTCAGTTAATGAAATTAATTGTTAATACTATTTTTTTGACGGGAGAACAAAAAATATTATAGCATAATGACCAGAGAAGTTAGAAAATAGTTCCCATTGTTTAAATGAAATTAAGTAAGATTCAGAATGTATAATACTGTGCTCTCTTGCACAAAAACGAGAGCCCTTAGATATAACGTTCTATATAATGTAAAATACTTGTATGAAAATCTTAAGATTGGTAATTAAAGCTTTAATATTTGTTTTAATTTAAAAACAAAAGAAATATAAGTAAGATATTTAAATCTAAAAATTATTAAGATATCTGTAAAAAATAAGTTGCTCCTACAAAATATATATAATTTATTATTATTACTTTTAACAACTTTTTTTTTCAATGTTTGGAAAAATAATACAAATAAACTTGTTTTGCTGTATGTTAAAAAAATACTACAACGCACATTTTAAATAAAAGTAGAAAAGCGCAGCATTGTTTAATTACATTTTCCATTTGTCAAGTCTACCATGACGCCAAATACTGAAAATTTTATGAATTAAATGCGCTTCAAAGGAATTAACAAAGTCTGTAGATAGCAACGTAAAATTTAAAGACTCCAATTTTTTGAGTAAAATGGAGATGGCGAGCTTTGACTAAAATAAAAAGATTAGTTTTTCTCGGTATGCATTCAATATTTATTTTTAATCAAAAAAACTTTGTTTAAACCTTTTTTTTCAACATTATCTTTAATATGAACACAACATGTGTTGGGAGTTTAAGATCACTTTAAGAGTGAGAGTTTACACAGCAACTATAAATGAAAGAGATCTACTTTGAAATATACTATAAATGAAAGAGATCTACTTAGTGCATTATGTCAAACATTTGTCAAACATTTCGTATGTATATCTACAGCTTTTTTTCAAAATAATTTAAAGTAAATAAATTTAATGTTGATTTATTATACAAAATAAGCTAATTAAGATAACTATAAACACTACTTATTATATTTTTTTATTTAGAAATTAATTAAAATTAAATAACTATTAACATTACTAAAAAATATGTAGCTTTATTTATGCAATATATATATATATATATATATATATATATATATAATATATATATATATATATATATATATATATATATATATATATATATATACTAATATTAAGAGCTTTTTTATATTATAATTATAAAATAAATTACTTGTCACTTATTTATCCCCTTTTACATAAAAAAGTAAGAAAAACTGGTGCTACTCATAATCCAAGATTTTTAGGAAAAGCAATTTATTATTCAAGGCTTCAACTTCTATCCAATAAACTTACATTTGTTCGCGAAAATGATAAACTGAAAGCTGAAACTAAGCTTATAACAGAACTGAGGATGTGATTTAAGGATGCAATTACATAGCTCTGACTATTATAAAGTACCTAGCTCTGACTATTATAAGCCTAAGAATAAAGTAAAAGTTGATATCAAGGAAAGTTATAAAATTTTCTGTTATAAAATTTCAAATATACATTTATCTTTTTATTTATTCTTACTCTTTGTGATTTTATAGACTGACATAGCACTAGTCACAGCCAACAGTTTAATAAATAACGATATTTCTGTATTAAAAAATATTTTTCTGCCAGCCATTGTAGTTGTTTATTTTCAATAACTGTAACAACGCGATTAGTGATAGCAATACTTAAAGGTTTCAACTAATAATTGTTTTTTTTATAGGACATAAATATCAAAATACTAAATATAATCACCGTGGTTATAACAACAATATAACAGTGATTTTATCATACTTTTTATCTTATCTTTTGTCTTACTTTTTATCTTATATTTTATTTTACTTTTTATTTTACATTTTATCTTATCTTTAGTTCTAGTTCGGTTAGATCTTGTTAAAAAATGCTAGAACTTTTTTAAATATTTCTAACTTGTTAAAAAAGTTGTAACTAAATGTTCCAAGCCAAGAAAAAACACTTTGCTAAAAATAAAGCTGATTTTTTTTCTTGATTTAGAACATTTAGTTACAACTTTTTTTACAAGTTAGAAATATTTAATTTTTAATAAAGTATTTTTTTCTTGATTTAGAACATTTAGACTTGAGAACTTTTTTAATAAAATTTTTGCTAAAAAAGTTCTAAAGTCTAAAAGTTCTAAGTCTAAATGTTCTAAATCAAGAAAAAAATACTTTACTAAAAATTTTAAAGATATTAAAATAATTGTATATTGTATGTTTGAAAAAAGGAAACGGTTTAACGGATTAAAAATAAAATGCAAAAAAACAAAATATAAATATACTTATATATATATATATATATATATTAGGACATCCCGTACTTTTCAAAAAGCAACTTTAATAACAATAATAAACACTTGGCCCTTGGTATTTTTTTGCTAGAAAGTATATAAATTTAGAATCTGTTGAAATAAAGCTGCTATTAATAGGACTTCATTTTCAAAAATATTGCTATATTTTATTGACCTTATTTATTGCTATATTTTATTGACCTTAAAATTATCTTGAAGCTTATTTTTTAAATAATATAATCTAATATATTTAATATTAATTGTTTGTTACTAATCTTATATCTTAATATAGTAATATCGATATAATAATAATATAACGTTGTTATATAACAATAGTAAAATAATAGTAAAAACATAATAACAATAATAATAATAATAATAATATATATGATAAAATATGATAAAATTTTATCTTAAGGAAAAGGTAGAGACTTAATTCCATCTGAACTACCAACTTAAGGTGCTGTTCTTCAAAAAGCTATCCTCATTAAAGAGTTGTCAGAAAAAAAAGTATATCCATTAGATGATTTGGTTAGGGAAACAAGGTTAGAAGTTGTTAAACAATGGAAAAAAGCCAACTCAGACTTTTCACATCCAGTTATTATTACAGATAAGCCCATTGACAGAAAGATCATAAATTACAATGATGTTCAGGATATTTGCAGAAAAAGATTAACCAAAAAAGTAGAAATTGATAAAATAATTTTAAAAATAAAATCTTAAAGTCTTTGTCACGACTCTTTGATATAACTAACTGCAAATGTGCTATTTTATTCTGTAATGAATCAAGTTGTCTGGGATGTGAAAAAAAAGATCATATTGACTGTAAATGTGAAAAGTCAGTGAAGATTCCTATAATAGAATTAGAATTTATTCACTCACAGAGAAATAAAAAAGGAGAGCAGTCTCAAATTATGATAGGATCAAAAGACTACATAAAGATTAAAAGGAAGCGAAAGGCATTTGAGCGATGTAGTAAGAAGGAACAGAATTTGAAAATGTTCAAAGAAAAATAGATGATGAAAAGTAGCCATTCGAAAAGAACCTATGCTGAGGTTTCAGAAAAAAGTAACGATATAGAAGAGTGCTCTGAAAATGAGTTTGAATGTTCTAGTTACACTGAACATATTGATTTATTAAACATAAGTGATGATTTCAAAGTAAAGTGAAATTATATGAAGATTCAAAATACTGCTATTGCTGCAATAAGATATGAAGTTTCAAACACTGCTGCAGCTGCAATTGCTTCAGGATTTTCAAAAGATTTGATAGAAGCTAAAGTTGTTCCAGAATCCGCTCTTTTTTTATTACTGGACAAAAACAAAGTGCATAGAGCCAAAGATAAAGTTATGTCAGAGTGTCAGGTTTTTGCAGAGAATAGATTAGATTCTGAGAATGTTTCTTGTATTCTCTTTGATGGAAGAAGTGACAAAACCAATCATTTTACGAAAGGAGAAATATGTGAAAAATCAAAAATTAAGCCTGCCAAACATATAGCAAATAAAATATTTTAATGGTCTATTTTGCATTGTGTTGATTATAATTTAAAGTTCATTGGTTGTGATAGCACAGCTACAAATACAGGCCATAATGGAGGTGTTATTCATTGTTTAGAAATTAAATTAGAAAGAAAATTACGGTGACTAATATGCTCTCTTCACACAAACAAACTTTGTTTTCGGCATTTAGTAGAAGAGCTTAATGGGAAGACAACCTCAAAGACAGGGTTTTCTGGACCGATTGGTAAGTTGCTTTTCAAGTTTACTGAGATGGAAAGAAATTACAGTTTCAAGCCATTATCTATAGGTCCTGGTTTAATTAAACTTGATGAGGAAATAATAAAGGAGCTGTCTTCAGATCAGAAATATGCTTATAAAATATGCCAGACAGTAATTTCAGGAACTCTTACTAAAGGTTTGGCAAACCAAAAACCAGGCACTACAGTTCATTCAAGGTGGCTCAATACAGACTCTTCCTTACTTTTATTGTGGATAAGCAAGCATGGGTTAGAGGGAGATGACCTAAGAAACCTAGAATTTATTGTTAAGTTTCTTGTATCAGTATACTTCCCTATGTGGTTCCAAATCAAAGTGAAGCATAACTGAATAGAAGGGCCACGGCACATCTTGAACCAACTTAACCTTATCAAATTTCAAGATAAAAATGTACAAAAAGTTATTAAAAAATATGTGAGATCATCAGCATGGAATTCTCATTCTGAAATCTTATTACATTACAAAATAAAATAAAAGCCAAAACTAATTTGTCTTGGTCTCTGGTGTTTTGAAGCTTTAAAAATGTTGACTTATGGTCAGTTATAAAAAAAAAATTCACAAGATTTAATAACTTAAAAATTGCCGCCATTAAACCTAAGGGCTCCCGATTCAAATCTATTACTCCTCTAACCTAACGTTTTAATTTTTTTCCAAAAATTGGATACCAAAAACCAAGAAGTAATTTCTAGTAATTTTCTAGTAATTTTCAAATCTAGAATCTTTTTTAGTACTCTGCATCCCTGCTTAATAGAGGGATGCGGAAAGTTATTTGCGCTTCATACCATGCTTCATACCATACTTCATACCATGCTTCATACCATACTTCCAAGTATAAGCAGCCAAAATAAAATTTATTTTTAAAAAAGAGTTTTATTTTATTTAGGTAATTGCTTCTGAAACAGTGTTTGGTTCTGACAGACGAGATGGATTTATTCGTGCAAGAGCAAAAAATAGATCAATAATGTCTCGTTTTAACAGCAAGAAGGACCTCATTCAATTTTAGCATTCTTTTTCACTAGTAGAGTTATAAAGATTGAAAAATGAGTTTAATTTTTGCTTATCAACTTTTATAACCCTCATATTTTAAGTAAGCATTTATAAAACCACTTACACTTACATAAGGGGTGGGTGGGGTGAATGTTGTTGAAGCAAGGAGGGCTTGAGAACCACTCTAAAATTTTAAAATTGTTCTATATTTACTGACATTATTGAAATAAATTTTTAAATTTTTTTACTATCTATATAGGATAATCTTAAACATAACATGATTTTGGTCCCCCTCCCCATTTGAGTTAATTTTTGAAAACTTAAGGTCAGTTTTTGCAAATGTTGCCTTTATTCTAATTTATTTGTCTTTCTTTAATGTATATACCTAATAGCCAAAAAATTGTAAGGGCAGACTTTTTTAAACAAAGTTGAAAAGTATGGGATGTCCTAATATATGTATATGTATATATCCCTAATACAGTAAATATTTCAATTTATATATATGTATGTATATATATATATATATATATATATATATATATATATATATATATATATATATATATATATATATATATATATATATATATATATATATATATATATATAAATGAAATATTTACTGTATTAGGCATCCCATACTTTTTAATTATTAAAAATTAAAGTAACATTTAAAATGAAACATTTCTCAGAGGAAGGAAATTTTTGATGAAAAACAAGTTATTTTGTTGCCCAAAACTAAATAGCAAGACTTTTTACAACACAATATTCCTAAACTTCTAGAAATCCTTATGTAACTGATTACATAGTTGCAAACAATATTACATTGTGTTTGTTAAGAATTTTGTATTTTTATAGACAATGATTTTTGGATTTAATTTACACAGTCTTTGGTACATATCTTATAAAAAAAAGATAAAAAATAAACTACAGCATTCTGGCCCACAATAGTGTAATTCCGGCTGGAACTGGAATGACCTAAAAGTCACATATCCAGCCAGACAGAATTGTTACATTTCTAGTTCAAACTTTAAAGTTCTTAAAGTTCAATATATATATATATATATATATATATATATATATATATATATATATATATATATATATATATATATATATATATATATATATATATATATATATATATATATATATATATATATGTATATATATATATATATATATATATATATATATATATATATATTATATATATATATGTATATATATATATATATATTTATATATATATATATATATATATATATATATATATATATATATATATATATATATATATATATATATATATATATATATATATATATGTATATATATATATATATATATATATATATATATATATATATATATATATATATAAATATATATATATATATATATATATATAAATATATATATAAATATATATATAAATATATAAATATATATATAAATATATAAATATATATATATATATATATATATATATACATATATACATATATATATATATATATATATATATATATATATATATATATATATATATATATATATATATATATATATATATATATATATATATATATATATATATATATATATATATATATATATATATATATATATATACTCTTGCATGGTCGTCTTTATGTTTTTACCATATAATGTCAGCTTTATGTTTCTTTTAATTTTAAAGACCGGAAAAATTTTTTTAATTTTTTATTATTTATACCAAACCCTCAGTCAATGTAGCAGCAATCTGTTGCAAATCAAGCTATTTTTCAGTCGATGTAGCAGCACTCCGTTGTGAATCAGGCTATTTGTCAGTCGATGTAGCAGCACTCTGTTGCAAGTCAGGCTACAAGATAGTCGATGTAGCAACACTCCGCGCATAACTCATTTACAGTTAAAAAAATAAAAATAAAAACATTCAGAATATTTTTATTTATAAAAAAATAAAAATAAAAACATTCAGAATGTTTTTTAAAATATTCTAGTTTTTTAATTTGTTTTTTTTTGTGGTTTTCTAAATTTAATTACTTCCACAAATAAATTAATAAAATTTGACTTAATCTAACCTTAATTTTGTCAGCTTTAATATCACAAACAAGCAAAGAGCAGTTTTTTACCATGAACTGTATATCTAAGCCCTTTACTTTATGTATATATATACACACCTTTTTAATTTTGTATATATATGTGTATATATATATATATATATATATATATATATATATATATATATATATATATATATATATTATATATATATATGAATATATTTTGTATATATCAAAGTTGTATATTTATATCCATATTTGAAATTTTGACAAAATAGATCTCTTTCATAAATTTTTACTGATATGATAAATTGTATATTTTTAAATAGTTGATATAACATAAATTGAATTTAATTAAAAAAACAATTAAAAACATAAGTACCAGTTCCAAGAGGAAGAAGCGCAGATGCTGGTTGCTTGCATTTTAAAGTATTAGAAGAAATCTCATCTAAACAAGACAAAACCCATCCAAATGTACCATCTCCTCCACATATTAGAATTCGAAACTCTCGAAGATTTCGAAACATATACAAGCTAAAAATGTTTTGTGTATAGATTGAATAATCAAGCTTACAACTCATACAGCATATATACTCTTAACTTTGTATAGTAAAAACTGTTATAAAAAAAAATCTTTTTTTGTCTACACAAAAAAAGATTTCATTTTATATCAAATATTAAATTATGAAAAAACTAATGAATTTAAAGACAAAAACACATAGATTTTAATTTAACACATACATTTTAATTGATATCTTTAACATAATAATGTTTATATTTAAAAGAATAAAAATTACATCATGTGCAAAATTAATTAATGGTTGCTTACATATTACTTTTATTATTTTATTGTGATATTTTGAGCAATATATTAACCACAACTTTGCAATAAAATAATAAAAATAATATGTAACAAACCATGATTGATTTTTGTACATGATGTAATTTTTAATCTTCATGATGTAATTTTTAATCTCACAAACACACACACACACACAAACACATATACATATAAGTGATGTATCGATTAATTAGCATCTGCTTAATCAGCAACTCTTTGCACAATCAGAATCGCTTTCAGCCTTTTTTTTATTAATTTACCGAACTTTCTAATCAATGGCATTTTAATATTTTTATCCTGCATTAGAATTAGAATTTAGAACTACTTGTAAATTTTTTGAGAAATTCATTTATTTTGACTTTGTTTACAGAAAAATTTGTTTATTCTTAAAATGATGCTTAATTGATGTTTAATAACAAGCTTTTTTAACAGCTGAATGTACTTATACTTTCAATTTAACTTTTTAAATTTAACATGTTTTAAATTAACATGTACTTATTTATTTCTTAACAGTTGAATGTACTTATTTCTTTCTTAACAGTTGAATGTACTTATTTCTTTCTTAACAGTTGAATGTACTTATTTCTTTCTTAACAGTTGAATGTAATTATTTCTTTCTTAACAGTTGAATGTTATTATTTCTTTCTTAACAGTTGAATGTTATTATTTCTTTCTTAACAGCTGAATGTACTTATTTCTTTCTTAAGAGCTGAATGTCCTTATTTCTTACTATAATGTTGTTTTTAGAATAATTTTATTTTGTGTTGTTTTATTGCTATACTTAAAAGTAACCTATTTAAAAATTGTTGTCTATATGTGTATAAGTATAGCTTTCTACATTTCTGTATGATAGTTGTTTAGATATCTATGTACTCTTAAATTAATAAAGAACTCTAAGTAAACTGCTTATCTTAGTACCATTTTATCTTTAAATTTGAAATTAAAAGCGATCTTCTAAAATTATATTTATTTTTTGAAAGTTTTACATATACAAATATATGAGGAAAAAAATGTTCAAACAGAAAATATCCTAAAAGTTTCAACTTTTAAAAAAGGTCACGCTACATGATCTAGCAACATGGTGGGTGACATAAATCACCAAAAACATTAATCTCCCAATGTATATCAAGTTGAATCTCAAACTTATGCGCTATCTATAGGACAAAGGTCTATAGGTAGCACATAAAACTATAAACTATAAAACTACTATAGATACCACGTACTTTCTTATTTATTGCTTTTTGATCTAGGGTATTATTCTTTAAGTTATAGTGTATAAATTTAAGTATAATTATTTTTTTCATTTAAAAGGTTTTTAAGTTGATATTTTCATTCAATATTTTGTTCAAATTATTTTGCAATAAAATAAAGTGAGAGAAATAAATTTGGTTCATATTTTAAAGCATATGCTTAAATTTTTATTTTGAAAAAATATATATTTTGTACAGAATAAGAGTAATTTATTTTATTAAACTTAACATTTTTTATAATTGAGTTTGTATTTTACTTGTTTAATATTTACAATGGTCCACTTTTTATATTTATTATTCTGTTTTCAAAAAATAAATAATTATGACACCTTTACAAAAAATATTTAACTTATAAAAATAATTAAGATTTGTATAAAACATTCATCCTCATTGCACTATCTTTTAAATCTGATTTCTCTAGCTACATCTATGTTTGAATTTCAAGAATGATCACCACTCTGCCACTGAGCATTACAAACGCTGCTTTAGCCTCCATTCAAATTAGTTAAAAATTATTATTATTAAAAATTCGAAAAATTATTTTTAATTTTTCAAAATTTCAAATTCAAAATTATTTAAATGAGAACTTTAGAAGACTAAACCTATTAAAAAAAATTTCTTTTTAAAATGAATTCCTAAAAATAACTTGCATATTAATAGAAAATGTTTAACCTTTATACTGCTATAAGTAAAATGAAAAAACAAACAAAATGACATTTTGTTAATATTTTCATGGAGACGCGTGCGGTCTTTCACCTTATATGTCCACGAATAAGTTTTTTATTTTAGACAACTTGGTCATGGCTGTTTTCAAGTTTTATTACATTTTATGTTTAATATTTTGCGGAAAAAAACTAAGTTCCAAAAAGAAAGAAAGCAAACTAACAAAATATGAAATTAAAATAAATTTAAATAGAAAAAAAAATTTAATAATTAAAATAACTTGTGTATTGTTTTTACTTTTGTTTTTTTAGGGTGGTTGTTATTAAATTTTGTATTTCAAAAGATTTTTTTGCAATACATATACTTGTTAAATTAACATTTATCATTCGCAACTGGACTTGAAGACCAGTCACTTTAGTGGAACACATACAGCCATAGGAGCCCCAGGCAAGAAGGAGAAAAAATTATATTAGAGAAAGAGTTAGTTAAAAACTGTTAAAAGGTGTAGGACAGATATCCAGTATAAAAGTACAAAATTCAAGCAAAGATTTATTAATAATAATTGTTCACCAATAAAATAGAAGACCAAAAGGTAGGGGGTGGGTAGAAGTAAATGCAATAAGCCAAATGTTAAAAAGTAACAGGTATCTAAAATTACAAAGCGCTAAAAGATTGGGGATAAAAAAGGTACTGGAATAGAAAGGTAATATTAAATAGTTGAGGCTATGTGAAAAATGTGTAGACGCCATGGCATAATTGAAGCTTAAAAACTATGTATATATGTGTATTAGCCTCACTTAGAAAATACACTGAGAGGCTTAAATGGTATTCATATATTTTTTCATATATTTGTCTGGCATAAATGTATCTATAATAGGTTCTTGCCAGTTTAGAATGTCAAATGCTGGATCTTCTTGTAACAATGAGCCAACATACTCTAGAGTTCTTAGACAAAGAAATTGCTTTGTTTCCTATACACAAGAAAGACATTTTCAAGTTAATTAGCCAGGATCTTAGAAGGAGTAAAGAGGTTATATATTATATAATAGTTGCTGAAGGCGAGGAAAAGAGAAAATATCTGCTGAGGAAGATGGTAGAAGAAGAGTAACCGGAGGAGAGACTGAGAGAGAAAATGTTGAGGAGAGACTGAGAGAGACTGAGATTGAAAACGTTGAACAAAAAAAGATTTAATTATTACAATTACAGGAAAAAGCAGCAGAAGAAGAAGCTTTGAGAAATTTTGTCTTCCCTATTCTAAGCTAAGGGAGTAGATATTGTCATGAACATTTTTAAGTTGCAGATGGCAAGAAAAACCATGAAATTATAGAAAATGAAGCACTTATAGTAAGAGAGCAAAACCTGAATAAGATTAAGGGTTCAAAACTTGTTTTTCACATTGACACAAAGTTGGTCAATCAGTATAGAACAGAGGTCAAGATTTTGGAAACAGTAGAAAAATTGGCAATTAGTGTTTCCTCCCTAAATATACTTGACTTATTTCAAGTATTCAAGTAAGTATATCTAAATATGTGTATATATATATATATATATATATATATATATATATATATATATATATATATATATATATATATATATATATATATATATATATATATATATATACAAAACTTCTTTTAAGCACAAAAAATGTAAATATTAAAAACAAGGCAAACTTTTTAATTAATAAAACCATTTTATTAATTTTAAACAATACATGTTTCGACTATCACTAGTCATCTTCAGTTGAATTTAAATTTTTTAAATTTGTTTAAATACCTATATAGGTGATTTTTACAATAAAAATACAAAGTATAATTATCTGTGTGCAAACTATTATATTAATTATTACAAAAATTAATTATTACAAAAATACAACAAAATCTATAAGAATAACAAGTCATACTAAAAGAATATATATATATATATATATATATATATATATATATATATATATATATATATATATATACATATATATATATATATATATATATATATATATATATATATATATATATATATATATATATATATATATATATATATATATATATATATATATATATATTACTGTATTGAAAACATAAAGTAAATCACAACAAAATACTGACGCAGGCAAAGGACCTCCTTGCAATAAGTCAACTACTTGATATGGGTTAAGAAGTTGCTTAAAGTTAGTAAGCAACTTTTCTCCTTGACCTCCACCACTTTTTGAATTAACAAGCACAAGCAATGGAGTTGCATTTGGACTCAAACATTCATCCTAAAAGTTAAATGATAAACTGTTGTTAGTTGCTTAATAAAAAACTATAATTATCAATGCAATGAACATCTCATACCACTATCTCAGGTAAAAATAATGAAAACAAATGTCTGCCACTAATTGTTATATTTTTAATCTTTGAAGATAACTTTTGAAATGTTTCTAGAGAATTAAAGGACATCACAAGCGCACCTATTAAATTGAAATAATAGTATAATTAGAAAAAAAAAGAAATAATTTTAAATTTGTAATAAAATGAGTATTAACTTATTTAATGATTTATATATATATATTTGCTTTTATATAAATTATATTTATATATATGCTATAGTATATGCATATATATATTCATATATATATATATATATATATATATATATATATATATATATATATATATATATATATATATATATATATATATATATATATATATATATATATATATATATATACATATATATACATATATATATATATATACATATATATATACATATATATATTTATTTATTTATATATATACATATATATATTTATTTATTTATATACATACATATATATATATATTAGGGTGTCCCAAAAAAAAACATTTTTGAAAAAAATCTGCTCCCACCACCTAAAAGTGTTCTATCTAATACAAAAACACTAGGTTTAAATTTTTTTTGAATAAAAAATATTTTAAGGGGTCCCCAAAGACCCACAAATATTTGCTGGGTCCCTAATATTTTCTAAAAATTTTTTTTGAAAAATATGTCAATCTGGTACTCAAATGAAGCAAAATTATATCAAAATTTTAAAAATAATATTAATTTAGAAAAAAATTGTTATCTTTTGTTTTATTGCATAAAAAACTGCGTTTTTTAACAAAAAATGAAAAAAATGCATTTTTTTAATGTTTTTTTATGATAATTTTGATAAGTTAAAATTTTTTCGAAATGAATATTATTTTTGAAATTTTTATATAATTTTGCTTCATTTGAGGTACCAGGTTGACATACTTTTATAATTTTTTTTTTTGAAAATACTAGGGACCTATTAAATATTCAAGGGCCTTGAAGGACCCCTTAAAATATTCTTTATTCAAAAAAAATGTAAACCTAGTGTTTTTGTATTAGATAGAACACATTTAGGGGGTAAGAGCAGGTTTTTCTCAAAAAAGTTATTTTATGAGCCACTCTAATAATTCCTCATCTTATATATATATATATATATATATATATATATATATATATATATATATATATATATATATATATATATATATATATATATATATATATATATATATATATATATATATATATATATATATATATATATATATATATGAACATCAATGAATAAGAGTTCTTTCAAAACTAATTTTTTTTATTAATAATTTTTTGAAATTTTTACTAGATTTTTAATACTAAATAATATTTAATAATTAATTAATGTTAATATAATAAATTTGTAATTAAAGCTAAAGATGCTAGTATCAAAAATCTAGCGAAAATTTCTAAAAATTAATTTAAAAAATTATTATTAAGAGAACTCGTATTCATTGATGTTCGCATATTAAATTAATTTAACTCTTATTCAAGATGTTGCCATTTAAAAAATATATATATCTACAATTTTTAATTAATTTATTAATTGTTATTTGACACATTTTTCAAATATAAAACTGTATAACGTATCTAACGCATCATTTAAAACAGAACTTTTTTTAATTAGCGTTTATTTTTTAACTTCAAATTATTTTTTTATCTAAATAATAGCTTGAAAGATTGAGTTTTTTTAAACTTTAATTTTAATTTTTTTTAATAAGTTTTTTATTATACAAAAGTTAACAAAAAGACTTTTCAGTGGTTCTTGTTGACAAGACCTCAGGGTATTCTATAGGTCATTGCATTCTTCTATTTCTTAATATTGATGTAAAATTTGATGTAAATTTTAGTTTATAATTATATTTTATAATGGATTGCTTTTTTTAAAATGTAATGTAAAAAAAAAAAATTTAACATATTGATTATACAAAATTTCTGCAGGCACTTCGGCCTATGACACTTAAATAATCACCGTACAAATATATGAATAAACATCATATACATCATACAATATATGAATAAACATATGAACATACAAAAAATGAATCAAAATAACAAATGAATCATACAACACAAGCCTTTCTAGGAATCGCGTGTGGTTTTACATATTGTATGACCACATGCGAGTATTTTATTTTAGACAACTTGTTCACAGCTGTTTGCAAGTTTGATAATATTAATCCTTGCGGAAAAAACTAAGTTTCAAAAACAAAGAAAGCAAAACTAACAAAATAGAAAGTAAAAACAAATTTAAATAGAAAAAAAATAAAAATAAATTAATGAATTAAATAATTTGTGTACTGTTTTTATTTTTATTTCTTTAGAGTGATTGTTATCTTTAGCAACAAAATTAGATAAGGCAAAGGCGAAGGCATCAAAAAAAAAAAAAAAAACACTTTTAAGTTTACATTAAAAAGAGTGATTTTTCTTTTTTTAACTTTTTTTTTTTAAAGGGGAAAGCAAAATTATTAATTGCAATGTGTTTGTAAAATATATTTGTATAACAATATCATGTATAAATTGTCCCTTTATAAAAACATCTATGTAATAAATCTGTATACTTTTATAAAAACATCTATGTAATAAATCTGTATACTTTTATAAAAACATCTATGTAATAAATCTGTATACTTTTATAAAAACATCTATGTAATAAATCTGTATACTTTTATGTATAACATTTTGTATTATATAATTAGATTTTATTTTAGTATACGCACGTTTAGCTCATTTGGATAAGGCGCAAACTTTGTAAACGGAGAGTCTGTGGTTCTAGACCTCTTTGTTAATTTTTTTGTTTTTTTACTGAATGTTAAAAAGAAACATGTCTCTGTTAAAATATTAGGGATAAAAAACGTACAGGAAAAGAAAAGTAATATGAAACAATTAAGGTTATGTGTAGACAGAATGGGGTATTTGAAACGTAAAAACTATGTATATATATATATATATATATGTGTGCGCGTTACTTAGAAAATACACTGAAAGACTAAAATGGTATAAGAAATCTGAAAGTAATGAGATGTATATCATTCAGAAACATACAAAAAAAAGATTTTTTATATTTTTAGCTGAAAACTATAATATATAAAATAAGAAAAGATAAATGGTTACAAAGCAAACATATGACCAGCAGTATTTAAAAGAAACACACACAAAAATGTGGACAGTTGTGGGAATTGAACCACGAACATTCAGGGTATAAAGATAACACCTTATCCAAATAAGCTAAACATGCGTATACATATAATAAAATAAATATACTTATATAATACAAAAAGTTATATATAAAAGTATGCACGCGTATTACATAGATGCTATCTTCTAGGGACAACATATGTTTGTCACATTAAAATTATGCAAGTATATTTTACAAACAGATGGCAATTTATATTTTAGCTTTTCTCTTTAACAAAAAAACAAATAAAATATAGGTAAATCATTCTTTTTAATGTTTATAACTGTTTTTTTGTTTTTGTTTTTTTGCTTTGACTTATCAAATTTATATATATATATATATATATATATATATATATATATATATATATATATATATATATATATATATATATATATATACACATATATATATTGTATATAAAAATTATGTTAGTGTTATTATTTACAAATAGAGTGCTCAATGATCTTAAAAAACATGTTATATTTTATAACTGTGTATTAGTATGTGTTATAACACATACTAATACAATGTGTGTGTGTGTATAACACATACTAATATATATTAGTATGTGTTATATACACACACATATATATATATATGTGTGTGTGTGTTATAACACATACTAATACTAATGTGAGTGTGTTTACACACACACACACACACAGTTATAAAACATAACTGCTATGTTCTTTAACACGTAGTGTAATGTGTGTGTGTGTGTGTGTAAACACACAGACACATACACAGAGACACACACACACAACACACACACACAAACACACACAGTTATAAAACATAACTGCTATGTTCTTTAACACACACACACACACACACACATATACATATATGTATATATATATATATATATATATATATATATATATATATATATATATATATATATATATATATATATATATATATATATGTATGCACAAACACGTGTGTGCATATATATATAGTGTTATTTGTTTTAATATTGATTTTAGGTCATTTAGGTCTTTACTGATTTACAAAAAGGTCTGTTGGAACAATATGTGACTAAGCTTCTGATATTTATTATGGACTTTCTCCTAAGGAAGTGAGGAAACTAGCTTATCAGTATGGAAAAGCGAATAGCATAAAAATGCTTCATAATTGGAGTGCAAATGAAGCAGCTGGAGAAGACTGGTTCAGTGCTTACCTCAAAAGGCACAAAAAACTGTCAATAAGAAAACCTGAGGCAACAAGTCAAGCACGTGTTTCCAGTTTTAATCCAACAAATGTTCAAAAGTTTTACTACAATTTACAAACTATTGTTAATCGTTTAAAGTTGGAAAGTGGAGATATTTGGAATATGGATGAAACTGGTATTACCACAGTTCAAACTCCAGATCATATTGTAGCAAGAAAGGGTTTTAAACAAATTGGGCATGTTACTTCGGCTGAGGGAGGCAATTTAGTAACTGTGGCAGTTGCTGTTTCTGCCAGTGGAAACTCCATTCCTCCATTTTTCATATTTCCTCGTGTGAAATTTAAAAGCTATTTTTTTAATGGTGCTCCTGACGGAAGTGCAGGCGCTGCCTGATTGGATGACTGAAGTTCAATTTTTGCAGTTTTCCCATCATTTTGTCAAATATGCCAGAAGTACAAAAGATCGACCTGTTTTGTTGCCATAAGACAATCATGACTCTCACCTTTCAGTAGAGGCTTTAGATTACTTTAAAGAAAATGGGGTATCGGTTTGTTCATTTCCTCCTCATTGCAGCCATAAACTTCAACCTCTAGATCGTAGTGTACTTGGACCTTTTAAAAAATACACAAACACAGATTGCGATGTGTGGATGACAATGCACCCTGGTTCCACAATGTCTATTTACAGTATACCAGGTATTGTGGGTTTCCATTAGTATGTACCCCTAATAATATCAAGGCTGGTTTTGCAAAAACAGGAATTTACCCACTAAATGTTAACATTTTTGGTGAACACGATTTTATGCCAGCCTATACCACAGATAGACCACCTCCGAAACAAGACTGTGCTGTGGAAAATAAAGCGCTAAATATAAGTAATGTAACGGATGTTGACTTTACAATATCTGAGAATGACATGTTAAATGCTGGTTGCTCAAAAGATATAGAACCACATCAAGATATTTCATATTCAAGCAGTAATGATGTACACAGTGCATTTACAGAGTCAACTGTAGTTCTATTGCCTGAAGATTTAAGACCATTCAAAAAAGCTGAACCAAGAAAAAGAGTTAGGGCTAATAAAAGAAGTAGAACCACATCAATTTTAACAGATTCACCAAATATGAATGTTTTAAAAATAGAGAAGGAATCAGCTAAAAAGAAAAAGTTAGCAATTGAAGAGAGAAAGCAAGCAAAAACGTTAAATGAAGATAATATTAAGATGAGTAAAAGATCAAATAGTAAAGGAAGTTTACACTTAATGAAGAAAAGTTTGAATTGTTCAAATAGCTCTGTTGAAGAGGAGTGTTTTTGTTTGGTTTGTGTTGGAATGTTTTCTAAAAGTAAACCTGGGTTCAATACACCTAATGTCACCTTTGGGCTCACGAGTCATGTATAATCGGAAAATCTTTGTTTTTCATTTGCAATAATTGCTGCTAGCCAATTTGAAACTCCATTAGTTAAAAATATTCATGTAATAAAACAATATAAGTTTTAATTCTTATTGTATAACCATAAATTGGGAACACTGTTTTGTTTTGTCACTGTATTTTTTAATTAGATTTACTTTCTATTGCTTAAAATGTTACAATGACTTGATCCAAAAGTTTGATGATATTGATAAAAGTATATTTCAGCTATGATTCCTTTAAAAAAAAGGGGCGGGGGGTTAAAATATTATTGGAATACACTTAAATAGGACCTTTAACTTTAGCTTTTATTATTGCGAGTCAACTTACCCATTGAGTATAAGCAACTTACCCCAGGGTGGGGTAAGTTGGTGCAATTTTTTTTTTTTTTTTTTGAGGGCCCAGAAAGGCCCCAAAATATTTTTTTTGTAAATGAATGCAACTTTTATAAGTTACCCAAATTCATACTCTTCGAAACTACACTTTTATATTTTCAAAAAAATATTCCGTTAGGACTACAGAGCTCATAGAGTAAAAACCGAGTCAACTAGCTCCGGTCTCCCCTACACAAATTATTTAAATTATTATTATTTTTCCTTTTTCTTAGGTTTATTTTACTTTCCTATTTTGTTAGTTTTGCTTTCTTTGTTTTTGAAACGTTTTTCAGCAACAAAACCTGTAAGTGGTCATGACCATAATCTGTCTAAAATAAAATACTCATGCATAGACGTACAAGATGAAAAACCGCACACGTTTGCGGGGAAGGTTTGCAATATATGGATAAACATCATACACAAATATGAAGGCACTATGAATACACATTATAAACAAAAAAAAAACTAAAAAAAAGCACAATAAATAAACATGACTGTTGAAGTTTACTATTCAATTTATTAAAACAATTTTAACAGATGAAAAAATTTTAAAGGAAAATTATCATTAAAAAATAGCGCTGTTTGTTAAATTGCTGTTTTTACAAAAAACTTTTTTTTTTACAAATTAAAATTGTTACCGCTAGCAGAGAATATAGCTTTTATGCACAAATCTTTTTCCCCTAATAAAATAAAAATATATGTAAAAAAGAGAGAAACATAAACTACCGATAAATATAATGAAAACAACTTACATCCACCTAACTGATCAGAAAGAAGTAGTTGATATTTATTGCGTGATAAATCTGTTGGTAAATTACCAATAAAAAGAGAATATTCTGACATGGGTTCTTTTTTAGGTTGAAGGAAAAACTTAGTGTCCTTTAAATTAAAATAATAAACTTAAAAAACAAAAACAACAATAAAAAAAAACAATAAATTAAAGATAAAATTTTGAATTTACAAAGCAAATTTATACATATTATTTATTATTTATATATATTTACAACAAATTATCTAACCATTAATAGAATCATATTGTATTAAAATAATGTACAGTTGTAAAATAAATATTTTCAAAATTGTTTTTAAATTTATAAAATATTATACATCTATTTTATATAATTAAAATATCTGACATTCTTTTTTTACCAATCTTTTTTTAGAGATATTACTCTATTTGTTAAGAACATTTAATTTACAATAAATCATGGAAATATTATTTTATTATCAATGGATTTTATTATCATGGGAATATTATTATCAATGTTATCAAGTATATTAAAAACACTGTTACAAAAGTAAAACTGTGGTATTGTACAAAACTGTTTAAATTTACTAAACAATACTTTTTGTAAGTTTTTTTTAAGTGGAAATTTCCTTGACAAGTTTTGGAATGCTTAACTTCAACTGAATTTTCATCTTTACTTTGTTGTATACCTGTTTGATGCTGTTTGTTGTATACCTGTTTGATGCTGTTTTTCACAAGAGCACTCTAATTTATAAACACCAAGATATGAATAAACTGGTAGTGTAGGTTTATTTTTGCATTTAAATTTTAAAGTTTTTTTTATTTATTTAAAGATTGTTGCATATCCTGCGTGTTTAAAGACTGTTCATAAATTAGGACTAATTCCCGGAAACCAGGGTAAAGACATATATAAGGAAATGTTGCTTTGTTGTGAGATCTACTTTATTGACGACACTTGGGTTATTCCATAAGAAATCATTCGGGCCATGATTCCTTTATGAATCAGAATACCTCATTTGCAGTCCACATTAAATAAATAATAACTACAAAAATTATAATTATAGAAAAATACAGGTGGGTTCTGGAAATAGCGTTAGTTGTAATAATGCTGACTCAAATTAGTAATTATCTGAAGCATCTTTGACATATAGTATCATGATTATGGGTTGATTATTATGATTATTATCATGATTATGGGTTAGGAAATTTCTTAAAATTTAGTACATTAGAAGATTTTTACTTAAACATAGACCATCCAGGTCGTAATTTAAAAATTCAGAAACTGTTTGGGTAAAATATCCTGAAAAATTCTGCAATATATTTTTCCTTACTTTTGTCTTAATTTTGCTTTTAGCTGAACTGTTTCTAATTTCTTTTTCAAATTTTGTTTATTTTTTTATGAGTTTTGAGTGAAAAAACTTAAAAAACAAATATATTACAAAAATTTGGATGTATAGAAAATATTTTGATATTTGGAAAAACTAAAAGCTGAAAGAAACATCCAGAATTCCGTAAATATCCGGAAATAGATATTTCCCTGCTTAAAGAATTTGATAATAGTTCCATCAAGACTTGATAGACTCAGGAAATACTTTGTTTATCCAAATTTGTTTAAAATTTTTGACTTATAAAAATTTTAAAAGTTTTGGCTGTGAAATGAATACAGTCACCAGAAATCTAAAGTAAAAAGTTTAATTGTATATTAAGGCTCGAATTATGTGATTGTGAATTGTGATATCTTGAAATGCTTTTGGTCTTTAAACATTTATTTTTATTATTTTTAAACCATAACGTCTGTTTTTATCACTAAGCTCAATAGTTGTTATTTAATAAAAAATGTTTGTATTGATCTTGAAATTATAGATATAAAACCATTCAATTATAGAACCATATCATTACCATTATTACTAATATTTTTATTATAACTGTTTTTATTAAAAAGTTTTTTTTAAAAAATTACAATTTAAACTTTAATATTTTTATTCATTTAATAAATCATCACTTAAACTAGAAAAATAAAGCATACAGTATGATGTATTATTAAAAAACAACCGCAAATCACAACAGTCTAAAGAAATTTAGCAGTGATCAAATATTTTAAATAGAAGAAATTGCAAAAGAAAATATAAATAATAGGGTGGGTCAAAAATTTTTATCTCAAATCTAGTTTTAATAGTGAAAATATGCTGTCTTATTGGATTAGTTACAAATCTGTTAAATATTACTCTTTTTTTTTTAGTCTAACAGCCCGCGCATTGGTCCTGAAGTTTGATATAAACGTATATAAAAGTGGTTTGAAGCCAATACAGCATAAACAATTTAAAAATTTACTTTGTGCTAAACTAAACGCATCTTATTATTCTACTGTTAGTGATATAGAGTTATTGAGCCACCTTGTTTACAAATAGTTTTGTTTTTATTACTTTAAGAGGGTACTTGAAAGTGGTTGCGTACATATTACCTCATCTTAAAGTGTAATTATTTAATTTTTTTGGTTTGGCAGAATACGTCTTAGTCTACGGAATTCAGCCGTAGGCATCCTTAATTGGCTCTGTAGCTCTACAGCATCAGAAACATTAAAACTATTTTAACATTTCGCATATCATCCATAGTTTAGGCTTTTTTTGTTTTTTTCTTTAAATTTTTCATTTAAAAACTCATTGAAACTTTTATCAAAAATTAAAATTAAAAAAAAAAAAACTGTTCCTCAGAATTTTTGGTAAAAATTCTGCTTGGTTGAAAATGTGTTATTCGTTGCAAATACAAATAAAAATAATCAATAGAAACCATAAAAAATATTAAATAATAAATTATCAAAAAATACACCATATTTAACCAACTTAAAAACATTACTTTTATGAATTCTATTCATATCGCTATTATTTTTAATTTTTTTGATAACTTTGATATTAATTTGTAACTCACATGACTAACATTGTAATTTTATCTTAAATTAAAGTATAAATTATATCTTGGAAAAATATTCATAATAATAAAATATTAAATAATAACAACAATAATAATATTCGTAAAAACCAAAAGAAAACCACAAAAACTTTAAAAGGTCTGGTTAGTTTAAAACTACTCATTTAAATTTTGGGAACGATATGAAAATAACATAATGCTATAAATGGTATGGAAACAGCAATCAAAAATACAAACCTACCTGATCATCAAAATCATAACTTCGTTCATTGTATTGAAAATAATTCTGTACTATTAAATAAAAAAATAATTTAAATAAGATAAACATTAACAACACAGTTGTTTATCTTCATCTTATTATTATTACAAATAGTTATCAAAATTATAATATAAAAGAAAAATATAAAAATAATATTAAAATTTATCAAAAAAATGAAAAAAACATTAATTATTATTAAAAAACAATTACTTTAGATAACATCTTATAAAGAGTTTTTTTTTTATAATTAATCAAAAAAAAATTAATTTAAAAAAAAAACAAAACAACTTCTTTTATGTATATAACTCTATCATTAATCTTTTGATTGTATTTGTGCTTGAAACAATATAGCTCTTGCAATATCTTCATTTATATTTAAAAGTTTTATTTTGCAAAAAATAATATTTTATAATAGTTACATTAGCTTTATATTATGCAATATCAAAAAAAAAAAAAACAGAAATTTCCTTAAAATTAAGAAAGAATTTTAATTAAAAGTTTTTTTTTCTCCTCGGTTTTTCTTTCTCTTTTTTAATTATTTATAAAAAAAATTAAATTTCTTGCAAAAATGTATATTTACATTTGAATTTTCATCCCAGTTAACACAAAACGTGTTTTGAACATTTAATATATGCATTAATACGTATTAAAACGTATTATAGACATTAAATACGTCTTGTGTTTATTAGAATACTTTGTTGATTGCACAAACATGCACAATGAGAGCTTATTTTCCTTTTTATAGTATTAAAAATCTCTAATTTAACCAAGCGTTGGCATTTTGCCAACGACATTAAAAGAATTCAGTCGTCAGATTTTAAGCTAAAAGGCAAAATAGTCAGGTTGTTCTTAGGTGGAGATTTTCATTTTATCGATGATGTTCTGGGACACCAGGCTTCAGCTGCTAGCTTTCCTAGTTCTACAGACCTAGTTAAGTTGAATTTTCTGAGAAACCATGCTTCTATGCCTCACACACCTGCTAATTGTAACACCTTAAGGAGGACAATACAATCTCTGGAAAGTGCTTACAATGAGAACTTGTGTGAAAATAGACAAGGTGGAAACCTAAGAACTTTAGGTAAGTTTCATAATTCAATTACTTCTCCTGTGATTTTCCCCATAATAACTTTAGATAATGTAGTACCACCTGTTTTGCATATTATGTTAGGAGTTGTGTTAAAACTGTATAAGTTATTGATGAAGGAGTGTAAGACTTTAGATTGTCAAGCTGTTTCGTCTTTGTCGCATAATGAGAATGTGAGAACGAATGAATAGTGGGCTGCTAAAAGCGTTGAATGTTCTAAAACAGCAGAAGCTTTATGTTTATTAGAAAATCAATTTGTAGACATTGCAAATCTACAGGCGCGTTGGTTAGGTTTTAATAAAAATATTTCTGAATTATCTCTAAACTCCTCCAATAAAAAAATAACCTGTAAACAGCAAGAAATGTGTGATAGTATTAGGTGTTTAATTACAAAATACGATTGTAACATTGATTGGGTGCAGTGTGGTCATGCCAAATATTGTTTCATCAATTTTGTGAAATTATTGGTGATTCGGAAAAGAGTGTATTGTGTGACATTGAGAAGTATGAGTGTTTAGCATGTCAGGGTGAAGATATAGAATGTCTTGACCTTTATATTTCTGAAAAAATTTCTTTTATACGCGCACAACGGGAACTTTTAGACATTGAGTATATTCGATTGCAGATGGAGTGTGATGACCTAGAAAAAGAATATAAAAATAGCATAGGGCCTCATATCTTTAAGGGCCTCATTTATAAGGCCCTTAAAGATATGAAGGTTGAGCGACAAGCTTACCATGGTAATGTATTTGTAGGTAATCATTGCAAAATAGTATTAAGAAACCACTATAAACTTTGTAGTGTTATTGATGATGAAGCAATTAAAAATAGATTTGTACATGTGTTTAGTGTTTTTAATAAGTTGCAACCTATTCTTTTTTGGCAAAAATTTTTTTCCAATGCCGAAATTACTGAGCTTTATCAATATATAAATTTATTTGCTATTGAGTTTCATGCTTGCTTTCCAAATAAAAGTATCACACGAAAAATGCTGAACTTATTTTTAATGTGCCACTATTTGTAAAATTCCATAAAACTATTGGGTTGCTAAGTGAAGAGGAGGGAGAGTGTTTGCATAATAGCGTAAATAAGGAATTAAGACAGTTGCATTCAGTAAAAAATCAGGAGCAGAAGCTGCATCTTGTTTTAAAACGCTTTGAATTGCACAGCAAAGCTAATAGGAAGCTCAAAGCCTCTAAGGTGAGAAAGTGTGTTGTTTGTTCTGAGTGTGGCGAAAATTCATTTCATAGACAAGGTCTTTGTCTTGTTTGTGGTCATCAAATTTAGTTAAAATATTTAAAAAATTAAAAACAGCAACAACAAAAAAAACTATTTACAAGTAAGATAAATTATATGAGATCTTTAATTTATATATAATATAATTTTATTCTGTTCTAATATCTGTGTAATGTTCGTTTAAAATATTATTTTTTAATATATTGATTTTATATATTCGGTAGGTGCCCATTCTGTTCCTATCTTCAGAAGTTATTTATACTTATGCAAAACCTTCGCTCAGGTTAAAGAATGGAATACTAGTCTTGCATCAAATGTATGTAAAAATCTAGCTTTTATATATTAACTTGTGATCAGAGCAACTGGTATGTTGGTTGGGTATGATCTTGTATGTTTGTTTATTTAATTTAAAAAATGTATTGTCCTTTATTATATGTAACATTTTTTTATAGATATATTACATATCCATTCGATGTTTATCACCAGAAGTTAGTTCTACCTTTGCAGTACCTCTGCTCTACATACCTCCTCGCTGGTGGAATATAAATCTCATATCAAGTTGGTGTAAAAATTTAGTTCAATAAATTAGGAATTTGTAAACGTTATCAAAATTTTGAGTGGAGCAATTGTTTTTCTGGTTTAGCATGAGTATGAATCTGACATCAATTGGATGTACAAAGATAGTTTACTACTTAAAGAACCTATCAGTAAACTAACTGATTATAAAACAGTTTTTAATGGGAATAAAAACAAATTTTCAAAAGATTTCAATTAGCTATTTGTATATTCAAACACTTTATTTACTGAGAGAAGAGACTATAGATTTAAGTGCTATAAAATAATTCTACTACCAAAAGCGAGGTTAATTCAAAAACTTAAACTCAAATTTGGTCATGAATTATTTTATTAGACTTGGCGAGTCTTTATTTATTAACAACTTAACACCATATTATTAGAACTGTATGAACAGAAAAAAATAAATGCTTAAGCTTTAAATATTTTGACTAAATATTCCAAAACCGAAATCTGGCTTTATTTTGCAATGCAATGAATTTATTGGCTTAGGAAAATAAGTTTCTAAAACAAGAACTCCTAAGTTTAAAAATGTACTCTTTTAACAGCTAATCCCCCTTTGAACTACATTTTTCATAACTTTGCGAAAAGTGCGGTGTGCTTTCAGACCTCAATAAAGTCTGTTTTAGCTATCCTTAAACAATTAAGTAAGATTTTTTTGTTTTTATAATAGTCAAACAATAGGTATATTTGAGAATAACTATTAGAAATAAATTTTTCTGATTTTTTTTTTGATAAAAAGTAACATCAAATTACTTGAACTCAGCCAACTTCATCATTTGTCGCGTTTTTTTTAAACTTAAAGAAGTTTTTTTACTAATGCATTAAATGTCCTAAGATGAAACATTTTATTGGTGTTTTTACTCTTTTTACAAAACAAAATTATCTTTAATATTTTAAAAATTATAGAAGTTTTAGTAACATCCCTTAAGTCAATATTTTCAAAAAATAACAAGAAGCCGTTAAGCTCGGTTTGAAACAGCTGTGGAAGAGTGAGACATTTTTTTCGAGAGATTCAAAATTCCTCAATTTCCCTTGATTTACAAATTCTTTTGAACCACATTCACACCAGGTACAGGGATGTGCACTTAAGTGTGCTTGAGTGTCCTACAAATAATATTAGCAAGTTTTAGATCACAGGAAATGACAAACTCTTAGTCTTTCAATTTAATCAACTTAAATATTTGCAAAACGTTTTTCTTGAAACTCCTCAGAGACAGCAATGATAAGTTGTTGTTTTACACCAGTGTAAAACAACAACTTTTTTTACACCACTCACAACAGATTGTTTTCAACAATCTGTTATGAGGTTGACTGATTAATAGTACCTGGTATCTTTTGAAACCCCTGTGTTTACTTGAACTTTAGCATAGCCTTTTACACTTATTGATGAATTTGGAGATAAAAGTTGTCAAGCTGATGACAAACCTATATTGAATACAAAAAGTTAAAATTTTAACCTGTCATAAATTTGAACTATAAAAAACTAAATTCATACTTGGTGTTACCTGAAGCATTCTTCCACCATAAGGTTAACTTAATTGAACAGTTAAATGAGGAATAGGAGCTTTATTTGAAACAACAAGAGCTTCAATTCTTTCTGATGCTAAAGGATCCTTTGTTATTACACCAACAAGATTTTTTCTCTAAGTGCCTTTTGTGCAGTTGTGAGGCAATTTACTGCCAAAAATTGAAAAACAGTGTGAGCATCTTTTTTCTACTGTTAAAGGTGTTCTAGCTGCTGAACTTTATGTGAAGTCAATTTTCGTTTGACCATTGTGTCTCAGTTTTCCAATTGAACAGATCAAGCAGTCACAGTGAGAGTCTTGAGTTTCTGGTCAAAGTTTTATAGTCTCAAACTTATACAATGATGGGGGTGTGATGCCCTCTCCACTTTTCTTTCTTCTTAAACAAGACCGACACTTTTCACATATTCTAAGTGGAATTGTCATCATTCAAGTCAATTTTCTCTTTCAGTATAATCTGACATCTTTCTTTTAGATTTGATGTTAGCTCTCATCGACATTTACTAAATCAAAGAAAACAAACAGATTTCCTGCATTCTTGGTAGTTTTTAGCAGAGTTCACAGTAAAATTAGATGTGCTCAGTTTAGCTCTCACTAGTAAAGTAAAAACAACGTGCTTTTCCCCTGAATTCAAAAAATAGAAAATTATTCAAAAATAATTTGTCATAATTAAATACATTTCATATCAATAAATTAAATGGTTTCATATCAAGTTTTTACAAACTAATCATAGTTTTAGGATGAAAATGAAAAATAAGCTATCATTTCGCATATTTGTGCAATCAATATATTTTATGTGTGTTAATTGTATAACTTCAAGAATAAACTATTTTGCTTTGTTTATATTTATGTAAATTGGAGATTTTTAATACTATAAAAAAGAAAAATAAGCTCTCAACTTGCATGTTTGTGCAATCAATAAAGTATTTTATTTAACACAAGACGTGTTTATTATGTATTAAAACATATTTATACATATATTAAACGTTTAAAACACGTTTTGTGTTAACTAGGATGAAAATTTAAATGTAAATAACTTGCCAAGACGCTGTAATCTGATTTTGATACTTATACCTAAGTGATCCCCATAGTAAGGCCTATCATTCCACTAAAGGGTTTTCCCAGGTTAGAAAGTTAAGAACCTATTTTATAACACTGTAAGTTTACAGATTATTATTTTTAAAAGGTTTGTTAGTTTTAGAAAAGCGTTACAGCTCATTCATAGCACAGAGTGGCTCTTTCATTGTCAAGATGTTATGAAAGAGCTTTTTTTCTCTCTTTTTTTAAAATAGGTATATAATAGATTATTAGCAATGTTATCTAATTTATTTTAATTTTATAATATTACCCAATAAATTAACTATTTAAATAAATTTTTTTTTGTTGAAATTAACCAAAATTGTTTTTTTCATAGTTTTTTAAAACTGGCTCTTTCATACATACTCTTCCCTAAATAACTCGAATTTTTAACTTTGCAACAAGTAATAAATTGTTTGTTAATAACTTTTTAAAAGTAAAAAACCATTATTTGTGAAGCCTTATTTTTAAGAATAAATGAAAAAAAAACGAAAAAACATATCCTTTATACAAATGTTGAAAAAGCAATATATTAATTTATGTTAAACGATAATAAAAAAGTAAATTTAATTATTTAAAATTAAAAAAAAAACTTAATTTTTTTTTTTAATGTGATTAACAAAGACAAGAGTGAAAAATAAAATTAAAACATCATTAACAATCAACCAATTAACAATGAACCAATAAAAAAATTATTAACAATCAACCAATAGCATATACCATTAAAAATCAACCAATTAAAGATAAAGTAATGAGCTGCTTATCTCTTTATAATAATACTGGACTTAATAGTAGTAGTAGTGCGCTTTCGAGCCTGTTTGACACGATACTCTTGGCGACCATTGCATTCGAGGTAGTGACGAGAAAGAGTCTTACCTTTGCTTTATAAGAAAACGTGAGCAAATGTGAAACTCATATCGTACGTACCTAAACTTCATGTTATGTAACGTTAAAACATGCTTAAACATATATCAAGTTCAACAGTTTGATTTTCACTTAAGAACTGCATTTTGTCAACCTTTGCTTAATTTCTAATCTTTTGTGTTTATATCCGTTAAAAACAATTTTTATATAATTTAAAATCTTCGAGACTCAACGTGACAGCGTAGTAGAGTGGTTAGCGCGCTGGGCTTCTAACTATGTTAGCTGTGGTTCAAGTCCTACTATCGGCGACTCTCTTATTAATTTCTTTTGCACATGTGTCATTATTGAGATACTCATGTTATTTTAGTTAAACTTTTCAAGTTTGTTTACAACTAAATTGAGCAAGGAAAATTAGTAAAAAACATGCTTATATATACAATATAAAATCTATATAACTTTTGATTTGCATTTTAAACAACAAAACTGCGTGGCAAACTGATGAACTTGCCACGCAGCGACCTTAACTTTTTTTAAAAATGGTAAGGGGGTTTAAAAAGTATATTTTTATTTAGAACATAATTAAAAATTTTAATTTTATATGTAAACTAAATTATTTTATAAAATTTATTGTTTCTAAAAATAATTAAAAGTTAAACTATTTAATATTAGCATAATAAGAAACTTTAGAGATTTACAGCTCTTTATCAACGCCCCTGTTAAACATTCTTTACGGAGAGCGCATCAATTACTGTGATCATTAAAATAACATGAGATGCACGAGGCACTGTAGATGTGCACGCGATAAGTATTTAAATTGCTTTTTAAACATTCATGAATCTCTAAATATCTTTGAATATCTCTTTAATCATTATCGTAAAACTATATTTTTTGAATATACTTTTATTTATGAATTCTATTTATAATTGTATTTTGTAATTTTCAATCTGTTTTTATAGCTACTAAAGTTTGACTTTTTAATATTTTAGTTAATGAAACATGTTCTGTTTTGTGGGTGATGTGTAGAAATTGTTTCTCAACAAGCTGTTAATTTTATGGAAGCTGAAGATGAGCATATTTTAGATATAAGTAAGTTGTTTTTTATTTTTTATTGCTTTTTTTTGTTAGATACTCAAACATGTTTTACATTAATCTAATTATTTAGTACAGTGTTATTGTCTGGTGATAATATTCATATTAGATTTTATTTAGTTAAATTTACCTTTAAAAAATCTTTCAAATTTACTTTTTTAGTTCCTAATTATTTAAATATTAAATAACAATATTTATGTGATTGTTGTTTTAATTATAGTCTCATAGCTTATCATATATTGTAAGTTTTAAATTTTAATATATCTTTATCTTAAGTTTTAAAGTTGGTATTTATTTTAATGTAATGAAAATGTAATTAAATGTGTTTAATATTCTAAGTTTTTGTGGAATAGCAGTTTGTATTATTCTGTCCAACAACACGGGTTTCAAAGTGGAGGAGGGGTACAATAGTCAAATTCTAAATATAGTCTTCTATATCTAGAATAGGCAATAAGATTTTCCCTCTATTAAAGGGAAGGAATTACCCTTATCAAAAGTGCAGTTTAAGAAGTTATAGTCGGCAGTGGAAATTACATATCTACATCTACAAATAAAAGAGGTATGTAAATGTATTTAGTTTTATATGTATATTTTTATTGATCTATTTTTTAAGTTTTGTTTGTAAATAATTATACTCTTTCAAAAACATATATATTTTTTTCTTTTAATATTAATTTAGTTAAAAATTAAGTTACATTTACAAAAAAATTTGTTGAGAGTTGTACATTTTGTTTTTACACTAAACACCATAAAAATTTTAGTCAACAAAACATGCTAAATTTTAGAATGATTCATGAGATGCTGTGACAGTGTTTGTGAATCTCCATGTCAAAATAATATATTTTATAAAATTTTTTGAATAATAAATTTTCATAATCACCGGTTATTGCAGGTATTCATAGGTTTATTAAGTACTTGCAATAAGAAAGAACTTTAATGACTTTTACACAACGTAATAAACTTATTATGAAAGAATTGTTCTTTATCAATGTGTCCTTATCTATTCAAGAAAATATTATTGTTTTTAATAAAAAGAATCATACTTAGGAAAAAATTAACGTTTCAATACTTTTTATTTTTTATTTTTAGTTTGATTAAACTATTTTACCTTCATTATCTTGTAAAGGTAAAGTTATTTTTTAATGTTTTTAACTGCAAGAATCATGTATTAAAAACATTTTTAACTTAGTTGTTATTTTATTTCTTTAGTTCTACTTTAGTGCTCTACAGACTATTTGTTTACTTTGTCTACTGTTAAAATATGGTTTTAACTTAGTAAGCTTGAATTATTTTAAGTTTACTATGTTGATCATTAGCTAATAGTTTAAATAAAAATTAGTTTTTTTTTTTTTTGCAAACAAGGTAAGAATAGTTTTAATTTCTGGTTGAATAACGTTTTTTTGTTTTTTTAGTTATAAAATTTTTTTCCTGCTACACATAAAGTATTTTTTCTTACAGGTTTTGATTGTTTAATCAGCAACAGGTTAATTGGTTTGCAGTGCAATTTTGCCTTCTTTACTTTTTTTATGTCATTATTTAATTTTGTGTCAATTTTGACATCTTATAATTTTTTTTAAACATTTTGCAGAACGAATAGAAGACCCACATCTCACAAGGTGTGGGTTCAAGTTTAGGGCTGAAGCATCCCCCGTATGGGGCCATCCATAAAGTACGTACGCATGTATGGGGGGAGGGGGGTTATCCTGAAACGTACGAATGCGTACAGGGGGGGGAGGGTGTTAACGACAGCGAGTACGTACGCGGTTTAACTATCTCTCCTAAACTTCTTTATAAAAACATTAAATTTCATGTGTTTTAATGTTTTTTTATAAAAACATTGAATTTCATGTTAAAAAATCATAATATAATATATGTTATTTTTTTTTCTGACTTCAATTACAATTGTTTTTTATTTTTCTTTATAAGTAACGAGGAGAGAAAAAATCGAGCTATAATATCTCCAAATAATGTTTTCCATTTTTTGCAACATAATTCGACTGTAGCAAGATGAAAAGTAACAAAACTGTAATCAAAGAAAACTTCTTCTGAATTCTTTTTTTAATTACGAACCTGGTTTTTCCCATTTCTCTTAAAAGGTTAATATTTTGTTTTTAAAAAACAATAAAATAAAAAAAGGTAATATTATTATTTTTTTTATCATTAAAGTTAATATTAACATACATTAAGATTGCTAAGGACAGGCGAAGCGAAATGAACATACATGTGACAATGCATATGACAATCATTGTGATAATTGTAAAAAATAGTTACTTTAAATGCTGATGGAAACCAACACTTTTTATGATGCAATGTAACGGCAATTATCTTGAGTAAACTAAAACAAAAAAAACTTTTATGATTCTATTCGAAAACTCAATACGCCTCATTGGAAAAAAAACTTATTATTTATTATGACCAAGATGTCGCGCGGGAACGAGAAAAAATACCTTCAATTCCTTGAGTTATATAAAAAAGCATATTCAACACTTGAAAAACAAAAGCAGTATCAGCAAGCACAAGAGTTGTGGAAAATAGTAAAAAACAATGAATCCTTGTATGAAAAAAAAAATAAATGAGTTAAAAGAGAAAGTAACAAAGTTGAAAGTATCACTTATGTCATTCTGGGGAAATACCATTTCACCACCTAGCAAAAAGAAAAAAGATATCCATCCAGCGCCGTCTTCGTCAAATGAAACACGAAGTTTCCTAAATGCAACTACGACAGAGCCTGCAAGGATTGAAATTAGTAAACTAATTTCTGTAATATTTTAAAAACTTTTTCTCTCTTGTGATTTTCTATACATTAGGCCGGGTGAATAAAAAAGAGCAATTGCTTTTTCTCAGTAACTGTTCAGCTTTGCGTGAATAAAAATTTGACCAAGATTGCTCAAATTTTTATTCACGTAAAGCTGAACAATTTACTCCAACAACGCTCAACTTTACGTAAATAGAAATTTGAGGATAATTGCTCAATTTTTTATTCACGTAAAACTGAACAATTACTGAGTAAAAGCAATTGCTCTTTTTTATTCACCCGGCCTACTGAGTTTAACCATATTGTAAATCAAACTACATCGTACGACCTTAGAGCAGTCACAGAAATTTATAATGTTGACCATTAGACCTATTTTTCTATATCCAAAATAAATTGATTAGTAGTAATTGTCAAGAATTTATAATAGCTTATTTTTTGGCATTTTTTAATTTAGATTTAACAGACAACAAAAAAGAAAGAGAAAATCCGGCACAAGTTAGGAGTCGAAAGAAAATCTTTACTGATATTTCGTTTTCAGATTGATTCGTGAATCAGCTCGTCAAAGAAAACGAAGACAAAAACTTAAAGAGAGCATCGAAACTGTGAGTCAAAACATCCCTGAAGCATCAAGTGCTTTAAAACAGTTTAGTCGAAACCATACTGGACGACCGCGTCTCGAAGTTGACCAACCAGAGCTTTTATCAACAATTATAAAAATTGTGCAAAATTTATCAGCAGCTGACGAACGTCGAAGAACAGAATGTCTCCGTAGCGTCTCCACTTTAGATGACCTTCAGGAAGAGTTGACAAAGATAGGCTTTACCTTGAGTAGAAGTGGTTTGTACCTTCGTCTTTTACCACGACGTGGAAACACTTCTGAAGGAAAAAAACATGTCAGCACAGTTCCAGTAAAGCTGTTACGTCCAGAAAACTCAATGCAAAAAAAAAATGACGATAGAATGTTTGCCAAATCATTCATTGACGACATGTTCGAAGTTTGCAAATTGTTTGGACCAAAAGCTGTGCTTTTCATTTCCAACGATGATAAAGCCAGGGTCCCATTGGGTATTGCTGCAGCAAGCCTTCAAGCACCGTTGCTGATGCATATGGAATACAAGGTCAAACTCATGGATCACGATTTTGTCGTTAGCTCACAGCACAAATTGATCCCATCAGTGTATGGCGTATGCGAAGTTAACAATACTGGAAATGTATCATACAGTGGGGACACTTTCATACGCATAAGAAGTGCGAAACACGATACATCAAATGCTTTTACACATGCTTTTGATGTTAGAGAGCTTTTTAAAACCGAGTTGGTTAAACGTAGACCAATTATGTTAATGGAGACTGATGGAGCTCAGGATGAAGCACCACGTTTCCCTAAAACCTTAGCAACTGCTGTTGACCTCTTTCGCTTGCTTAATTTAGATGCCCTTCTTCATGGTGTGAATGCAGCTGGCCTTTCAGCCTTTAACCCCGTAGAACGAAGAATGGCACCTCTTTCTCGTGATTTGGCTGGAATAGTCCTTCCTCATGATTTTTTTGGCAATCACCTTGATTCTTCTGGAAAAACAATCGACTATGAATTGGAGGTAGAGAACTTTCAAAAAGCGGCTGACGTTTTATCCCAAGTTTGAGAGAAAACCGTCATTGACGGGTATCCTGTTCATTGCCAGGCTGTACCAGTTGGGAAAGCATATGAACCACCAATTCCAGATCCTGTTTGGGTAGACAAACATTGTCAGCAATCGCGATACAGCCTACAAATCGTAAAATGCCAAGAGGAGTCATGTTGCACACCGTTTGAAACAAACTGGCTGAAAAACTTCCCCCAACGTTTCATTCCATTTCCGGCAATCTACGAATACTGCGAGAATGGTTACAAAGCAATGGAACCGTCTCGATATTTTAAAAACGTATCAAAACAATCAACGTTTGCACCACTGACACATCGACTTTTGCTACATGATATACCTATAGAAAGATTAAAATACAAAATTATACCATTTGATCTGTATTGCCCATCGTTAAAGGAAAAGCTCTCAAACGGAATTTGCGACAAGTGCAATAAATACTGGCCAAGCGAGGCTGCAATGAAACGGCACAAGAAAGCACATACACAAAAAAAAAACACGGTTGAAATGGAGAGTGAGGATAGTGTAAGTGACAGTGAATCTATTAATAAAAGTGAAGATATCAGTGAGGAGATTGATTATAAAAGTGTGGAAGCAGAGTTCATGCCTGTATTTGATAACATATTTGATTTATTTAAGTCACCATTTGAGGAAATATGAAATATAAATACTCGCAACAAGAATTCTTTTTTAGAATATTTTTCTTTCTTTAACAAAAACTGGAAAGTTATTAACAAATAACTTTCCCGTTTTTAATTAAGCACAGAGAAATTAACAATATGTTTTTTTGTGTTTAATGTTTTGAAAAATTAATGCGTTGGGGAAGGAAGGGGAGGAGAGCCTGAACTTGTAATAAAAAATGCGTACGTACGCAGAAGGGGGGGAGGTCGTTGAAAGCATACAAGTGCGTACAAGGGGGGAGGGGGGGTCCTAAATCAGTGGTTTTACTGCGTACGTACTTTATGGATGGCCCCTATACTAAAAGATATGTAATAATGAAAAAATTTTTCAAATTAAAATGTATTAATTGTAATTAAAAGTAATTTTGAATACAAATTTTTTTTTGTAGTTTTTTTAAAATTTATTTTTCTTATTTTATCTCAAGAAAACTTTTTAGTTTGTTTCTCAAATAAGTTTCTATATTTTTTATCTTTATAATTTTGGAGTTTTGAATAGATATACTGGCTATTTTTGCTTTGTTTTTTTAAATTTCCGTTAACTTTTTATATGTAAATGGAAACCACTTATACTTTTTTCACCCTGTGTACTATCAGGACGGTTTTCATTTGCATTAAGTCTTGATTGCACAAACAATAGGTTTAAAAATTTATTTGCCTAATTCCGCAGTGAAAACAGCTTAATTGTATGAATTTGTTAAGTGTTTTTTTTACAGAAAGGCTTTTATAAAAAATATCAAGCAGATTAAGCTTACTTAATTGAAATATTTAGGCCTCTTTTGGCTTGGCCCATTTTTCAATGTCCAAATTTCCTTTGTAAAACAAATCCTTATAAGAGAGTTAAAATAATATCAAAGCATAAGTTTCCAAAAACACCTGAAGAATCAATAGGCAACTGTCTTATATGCTAAAGATACTTTTATTCTTTTATTATGTAGAAAATATTAATGTAATAATTAAAAATACTAAATAATTCTTAAGTATGATAAATTAAAAATTAACGAGAAGCCAAGAAATTCTGTAGTCAGTAAAATGCTAACTGCGTACTTTTTAGCGAGCCGAGACATTTTAATGAGCACAACAGTCATAATATTTAAAACATTTGTTCATCAACCCGTTTTGTATGGGTCATGACTGCTAGAAATGTTATGCAACTTTTTTATAAGCTAAAGATACTTTTATTATGTAGAAAAGTAAATAAGTAAAAATACTAATTAGTTCTAAAGTATAGTAAGTTAAAAGTTAACCAGAAGGCAAGAACTTTAATTAATTATTAATTAAGGTAATCAGAAAAATGCAAACTGCTTACTTTTTAGCGAACAAAGACATTTTAATGACCACAACAGTCATGATATTTAAATCATTTGCTCATCAATTTTTTAAATTAGATATCTGGTATTCGATATATTTTATTTAAATTAGACTATTATTTAATATAATTTTTCTTTTGAATTAATTATAATTTAACAAACAGTAGATTTAACGGTTTGCATTAAAAGTTCGCATTTTACCAACTACCAGAACTTTAAACTGATTTATTTTTTGCCGTTTACTAAAATAAATTAAAGTATAAAGACTAAGGAACAAGTTTAGAATTTGTCGGGTGTGAATGAGATTTGCACGACCCGTATCGTACGGGTCATACCAGCTAGTATTAATTAATTATATGTTGAATATCTTATTTAAATTATGAAAACCATTTTCAGATATTTCTAACATAAATATTGTTTTAATTTTTCTTTAGTCTTTGTATTTATATAATAAAAACTTGTTTAATTTTTATCAATGTTACAAAACTCAACATAAATTAAAATAAATTCAACATCAATTAACAAAAATTAAATGTCATTATTAATAAAAACAAACCCAGTAATCTTTCAAACCAATTCTAAATTTTTTTTTTAACTTAGATGACCTAAAACCCCCAAATGTGAGATGTCTCCTCAAACTAATAAGCTCATACTAACTTTGACATGTTCATAGCTTTAAAACACCAAAACTTTTTTTAATATAATTTGAATTTGTTGATGAATATAAATTATTATTATTATTGTCGATGAATATAAATATATTTTAAGTTTATTGATGAATATAAATTTAAATGAAGATTAAATAGTGTAAATGTTTAAATGAAGTGTAAATAGTGTAAGATTAAAAGAGCGTCTTTCAACAATAATTAAAAAAATCAACAAGTCAACATGATCAACATGAGTCAGCACTAAAGACCATAATTATACTTTATATATATATAAAAAAAACAAACTTTGTTGAGTTTTTTTATAAATGAATAATATTGTATTAAATATAAAAAATATTAAGTATATATTGTAATGATGCCAAAAACAAAATATAACTAAAAGTTTTTATTTTGGAGAAGGTATGGTCAAAAAGCATTTCTTACAAAATAAAATAAAAATACCCAAATCTGGTTTTAACTTCATTTTAATTACTGAAAAATCTTCAGGCTTTTTGTCCTACAAAATGTATAAAATATTTTAAAATAAATGATTGCATATTTTAAAAAATAATTTTAATTAATAACTAATATTTTTTAATGCATGCTTCCAATACAAGTAGGAACAATGATCAACTATATATTTTAGATCTTTGCGGCTTTGGCTGGTAACAGGTAACAAAGGTGTTTAAAACGCGGGCTAAAATTTATTAAGTTATTAAGCACCATTTTCATATCATTTACATTGTAGTATTAAATTGCCAGATACTTAAGAATACATGGTATTTATCTAAATTTTAAAACATTCTGTCTTGTTGCCTTAAATTTTAAAAAACAATTTCCTTTACAATTATCAAGGTTACTGCCATTGTTTTTTTTTATTATTTTGGAAAAAACAGTTATTTAAACCACCTTTTTAAAACACAATTCTTATCTATCTTAGATTCTGTTATTGGATAATAGAAACCAGTGCTTTTTACATATGAAACTAACAATATTGCTAACATATATGTTTGTCTGGCCAAAGCCACTATGATCTAAAGTACATCATTGACCATTGTTCCTACTTGTGTTGAAACCATTTACTAAAATTTTTTTAGCTTTTTATAAAATAACATAGGTCTGGCGGCAACGAACTTTAATTTTACTATATTATATTATATGAATGCATTATTTAGTTAACTAAAGACATAATAATATTATTTCCAATCTAAAAATATATATTTTTTAAACTTTTATAAGTATATATATATATATATATATATATATATATATATATATATATATATATATATATATATATATATATATTATATATATATATATGTATATATATATATATATATATATATATATATATATATATATATATATATATATGTATATATATATATATATATATATATATATATATATATATATATATATATATATATATATATATATATATGTATATATATATATATATATATATATATATACATGTATATATATATATAAATTATATATAAATTATATATATATATATATATAAATTATATATATATATATATATAAATTATATATATATATATATATATATATATATATATATATATATATATATATATATATATATATATATATATTAGGGTGTTCAGAAATTTTTTTCTTTTGAAAATACAAGCTCCCTGGTAATTTTCCAATTTGACTTGATAAGTTATAACCATTATTAAAATTTCAGGTCAATACCTGCTGATTTGCCACCAGCCTTTTAAAGTTATCATGAATTATTAAAGTTTAATCTTATTCATGAATTTGGGATAATAATGCAGAACAATAATTAATACTTTTAATTGATTACAACTATGAATCTAAACATAAAAATTGCTACTAGAACACAATGATTAATTAATTGATTTAGACCTTTATGCAAAATAAAAAATAAATGTTTCAGATTCAAGTAATTACTAGTTTATGAAATAAGTAACAAAGCAAAACTATAGAAAAATTTAATTTCCTTATTATTTCCTTATATATAAACTAATAAATTGGAAACAATGTTACAGATATTAAATTAAAATGTTTCTATATTAGATTCAAATTCACTAAAACATATTTAGACTTAAAAAAGCGAGATAAAATTTAAAAAAGAAGAATTATAATAATATAAAAACTGTATAAATTGTAAAAATATGTATTTCCATTATAAAAGAAAATGTTGGTAACTGATGTTCCAATAAGTCCAACAGAGTTATATTCATGCATTTACATACATATTTATTAAAAAGAGTTCTACTTTTTCATCAACATTGATGCTTTATCAAACTTTGGTATGTTCCTTCTATGCTGTTCTACTACTTGGAAAAGACACTGCTTTTGATTTTCATCCCATGTTAGACTTTGAATAAAGTCAGTAACAAGTTTAACTGACCTTTCCGCTGAACCGTTGACAACTTTTAGGTCCTTTAATATCCCAGATATGTAGTTAAATTCATAATTTTTTGACCATTCATTGGGGTATAATGAAAGCTACATAGTATTTACTTTCAAAAGATCAAAAAGAAACCTGGAATTTTTTCCAATTAGAGAGCTCACTTTCACATTTTGATTCATCTGTGACATTATTGGCACTCCAGTTTCCATATTTTCATTGTTTATTTTTTTCAGAATTGTTGAGTAAATTTTCTTTTTTTCATTTGTAGACACAGTTCCTAAAAAGAGGGCAAAAGGTGCAACTTCACTTAGGTACCATAGGTGTCTTGTTTGAGCTATCAAAGCTTCTGCTACTCCTGGATCAATTTTTATAAACATTTGCATGTTCTTCCAAAACTGTATGTCGTTGATAGGAGCATCTATGACATTTGAAGATGTCAACCAAACTTTTACATAGAATAAGCTTGTAAATAGGCAAAAGCAATGCAGCTTCTGAATCATATTTTTATCATAACCTAAGTAATCACTGAATGCATACATTTTAGCTGCATATAGAATGTTTGCCATCCATCTAGCGTGATGGAAAGCTCCTGACTCAAGGCATTGTTCTCCTTTTTTCACATTTTCCTCATATATGTATCTTGGTATGGTATCAAATACCATACCAATGATAGATTTGTTCAACTCCTAGTCTTTAATGAGATCAAAGCTTGTCTCTGCATGGACTAATCCTGTCCTATTCATGATTTTTGGAATGCCCAGCAACTTTCCTTCTACATAATTTGGTGCATATGCAACTAAAACTGCCAATCATTCACCATTCCTTTCAATAATATTTCCATCCTATTCAATTGTTAGAAAGTCCGGCTTGTTAAAGTCAGATTTGATGTTTTTTCGCAATGTCTTGGCGATTATATTTACTGGCATTATAGGAACTTGTCTTTGATAGTGTAACACTACTACAGGAAAAACCTCCTTCCTTCGCAATAGCTCCTAAAAATGCTGTTCTTTGTCCCAAGGACAAGTTCAGCCTATCAGTGGTTTGGCAGATGTTTGGATTCAAGAATGGATTTTTTGGCAATAGTAGCTGAACCTTATTTTCAGTACCGGTTGTTTGATTATTTTTTGAGGTTTTTTTTTATCACTTTGCATTTTTTTTCACAAGTATTTCACTGATGCTTGCTTCACTTGAAGATGAATCACAAACTTGATTTGCTTCACTTACTGAAGAACTTAAATGTTCAATATTTGAATTCTTTAGGTCTTTTTTTTCCAATGTTGCCCTCTCTTGCTCTGTTTTGGTTCATTCATCTTTCATTTTTAGTTTCTTTGCGTATTGATTATTTGGTGTTCCTAGTTTTACTTTTGTTATCTTTGATTGCGATTAAAAACTTAATGTCTTCACTTTTTTGTTTATCGTTCTGAGATGTCAATTCATGTTATAACACGTTTTTGTCGCATACAATCCTGTTAATAACTATACAATTCACTAACAATATAATATATATATATATATATATATATATATATATATATATATATATATATATATATATATATATATATATATATATATATATATATATACTCAATTTACCATTAATTCTGTTGATATATATGTTTGTTTAGTGTTTACCAACTTAAAATAAATGGTATAAAAAATTACATTAAATATAGGCTTTTATATGGTAAAAAAAACAATAAAAATACATAAATTCTATTCATTCTAGCGCACGGTGGCAACCTTAAACGTTAATTCAGGCTTAAAAAAATTTAACAATATGTTTATATAAACAATAGAAATAGGAAAAGAGCCAGGGAAAAAATAGCAGAAAAAATCAAAAAAAAAATTTTCTCCACTGAATTACGGAGCGCCCTAATATATATATATATATATATATACATATATATATATATATATATATACATATATATATATATATATATATATACATATATATATATATATATATATATATATATATATATATATATATATATATATATATATATATATCTGTGTGTGTGTGTGTGTGTGTGTGTGTATGAGTGTATATATATGTGTTTATATATACAATTAAATGCATTCTACAAAAAAATGTGCTCAATGTTCTTAAAAGAACAGAGCAATTATAAATTTTTTTTTTTTTTTTTTTTTACATTATTCACCTTCTCAAGGCCCGAGGGGGCCACTACAGTCGAGGAGGCTACTCATTTTTTTGTGTTTTTTATTTTTTTTGTTGTATTTCGTGGTACAACCCTCTCTCAACTCTTTAACTCCGAAACACGAACCTTGACAAGCAAGGCCGCTGCGCGGAGAAACTAAGTTGAGCGCGGTACTTCCAGGGACGTGGTGGGAGTCGAACTCCGAACCTCTCGCTTACAAAGCGAGCGCTCTTACCACTACACCACTGCCGCATAATTATCATCAAAATAAATGCAAAATTATCATCAGAAATAAAAAAAGAGGCAGTTTAATGTAAATATTATTTAAAGTTACTAGTTTTTTAGGAGAAACTTATTTTCGTGCCTGCATTTAGAAATCAATTCTGATTTTTTGGTTAATAAACATTCTTTGTTTGCATATATAATTACTTCAAACATTTCTTGTAAGCATAGTATGCATTTTTTTGGAAATATTGTTATATGCAGGTACTGTTTTAAGGATGGACCAATTTAGTATAAAATCATCAATATTTTCATCTTTTAATTCCTATATATATTTTGACAGCATGGTATCTTTTGAAAACTTTTTATATTTAAAGAATTGCTTATGATATGTAATATTTTTGATATGTAATACTTTTCCATTCACTCTCTGTTACACAAATATATTGTTTATCAGGTACATTCTTAGAGAAAACATCACATTTATATACCATATTTTTTGATAAACAACTTCAACTCATTGGACAATTGTTTTTTTGTTTACAATTACAATTTTCTGTAGTTTTTTCATTTAGGATTTCTTTTTTGTTTAACAAAGCATTATTATGACCTTTTATAATTCTATCCATATTTTTTTGCGCAACTGTAGCCAACTTTAATTGTATTTTGATTAAAAATTTTATTTAATTTATTAGAAAGGCAGGAAGTGCTTATTGACCAATTTTAAAAACACTTTCCAATGATAGTAGAGACATTTTTGCTATATGGGTTTTTAACCAAATTACATTTCTAGTTCTACTTCACTTTTTTGTATTCTTTTTTTTTAGGGTCAGGAAATCCATGAGCTAAAAACGGATATACTTTATTTGTTATATAAAAACTACTGACAAATATATAAATATGATATAACCCTCATATATATTGGATATCCTTGATACCAAATTTTAGTTCAAAATTTTCAAAACCACTTTTTTTTAAGAGCAACTTCAAATATTCATTTAGAGGAATTGAACACATTTTTATTAGATAAGTTTTGGTTTAGCCTGTTATTAATTGAAATCAGGATTTGTTTTAGAATTTGGGGTGGGTGATTTAAGTTAATATTAATACATAATATTATAATAGTGTCTGCATATTTCACAAATGTGAAAAATTTACAGTAGTTAAGACATTTGCGGCTTCCTGTAATTTTTGGTATAAATTGAAATTTTATTAAACTGATCATTCATTTCTGATGAGTCGTTACACAGTGTAAAATAAATAACAATTTTTGTTGAGTGATTTTTTACTAATTAATATATATAATATTTTTTTTTAATCTACTAAAATTAGTATCATTTTGCTTCAGTGTTTTTTATACAGTATTGGAAAAATTATTATCAAAATATGTCTATCCAACCTCTGGGTTGTTGCTCACTTTCTATCACATTCCCCTATTCAACTTAGCACTTGTGTAAAACCTATTTTTAATTTTTTTTCACACTGATGACAGAACTTAGATGAACTTTTAGCTTCTTCTTTCTGGTATAGTTAAGAATTTTTCAATTAAAGATTGATTCATACAACTTTACGAGGGGTCTGGTACCCAGCTTTGTTTTCCAACTTTATGAGGGGTCTGGTACCCAGCTTTGTTTTCCAACTTTATGAGGGGTCTGGTATCTTTTTTTCCCAGCTCTACTTATACATTTAACAAAACTTTAGAAAGTTGTGTGAAAAATGACACAAGAAATAAATGTAAACAAGATAGGAACAATGTAGGACACCATGACAAAGATTTCATAATTTAGACATCAATGCCTAACAGACACCAGAAAGACCTTAAATATTCTGATTTTCACTTTGATTGCTATTAATTTTTCCAGTATTTAGTATAATTAATAGCTACTATTAAATATTAGTACAAACATTTTAAAAAATAATAATAATAAATAGTTTTGATACTATAAATAAAAATATAACTATTTAAAACATTAAAGATAAACAATTATATTTATTTGGAAAATTTCAAAGTGTTAAAAGAAATCAATAATATTTTTTCAAAATTTACACAAACACAATAAATTCATCACCTTAAGATAAAGCTGCTTTAATGTATTTTCAATCAAATCATTGATGGTCGATTGTGGTTTTATTATCACATCTGCACTGGAAATCCATGAACTAAAAACGGATATACTTTATTTGTTATATAAAAACTACTGACAAATATATAAATATGATATAACCCTCATATATATTTGTATATCCTTGATATAAATATAAATATAAAAGATATCCTTGATACTAAATTATTAGTTGATCAAATTTATATAATACAATTTTTAAAACTAAGGTTTTATACACCACCTAAATTGGAATGCATTTACATTTTTCTTCAATTTATATTTTATTATTCAGTATTTTATTACTATGAAAGCCACATTTCATTTAAAACAATAAGACTTGTAAAATAATAGTCTTTGATTTTATTAACATTTACACTACAGTCATAAATTGCAGCCTTTAAATTTTTCAGTGTTTAGGCCTTTTAAATCTTATTTTAGATTAGGTCAAAATAAATGATTGGTTTACAATCCATAGGGGTATATGAATATAAACAAGTTACCTTAGCTGATATGCACAACATACAATATGTCATTCACAGTAAAAAATGTTTGCAGTGGGTTTCTAAAACGTGGGATCTATCCACTTAATAGACAAATATACAGGGAAAGTGATTTCATATCATATAGTGTTAGAGACAGACCTCTTCCAGTCAAGCAATCCAAAATTTAGCAACTAGATAATCAACATTTATGTGGAAAAAAAAATCTGGTTCTTCATAATCAACAGCCAAAATGATTAGTCTGGATACCATTCATCCAAAGCAACAAACTCCAAAGCAACAAACTCCAAAGCAACAAACTCCAAAGCAGCTCACAGAGAAAATTATAGAGTAAGGTAAAAGGACTATATTAACTAAATCTCCAGAAAAGAAAGTAAATGAGAGGCAAAACATTGAAAGTCCAAAAAATAACACACAAGCTTTTTTTTTTTAACTTAGCGGAAAGAGTTTTTAGCAGAGAGATCCAAGCTATTTTTGTTTTGTTATTTTTATATACATTTTTTTATTTTACCCAAATTTTTTTTTTTTTTCAATTATATATTATTTTATTTTAGACTTTACTGTTAGTAATTTTGGTTTTTGAAATAAAAATATGTTATATTTATTGATATATGGATATGTTTCCTTACTATAAAATATTTTCATGGCATTCTTATGGCATAAATGTATACCATATACAAAACGGTTTTGGCATCCCTAATGGTCGATACTATGTTTTACTGCTTGACTTTCTTGAAACTTACTACTAACCATTTTTCAATCTTTTATACTCATTTCATTTTTTTTGTCTCATGCAATGAGTAGTTCTCAGTGAATGGGACAGATGTCCTGGTCCAATAAATTGCTCCTTTTTTACCAATATGCATATGCAGAACCAATTTTTTGTTTTAGTGCATCATTGAGAGTTAATAATTATCAACCTATTTTTCTATGAATAACTTAAATAACTTTAAAAAAGCATTTTCTGAAAACTATCACATTTATTAAGTTTCTAAATAATTAAATTTAACATTTTACTTATTTTATTATCATTTAAAATAATTTCTTTCTTTTCTCGACATTTGTATAAATTAATAAGAATATCTTAATACTTTTTTTCATTATGCAACTTTACAAATAATAATTTTTTACTTTTAAAAATTATTAACAAAAAATATTATTTTATTGCAAAGAAAAAAAAAACTCAAGCTAATTTATCAGGGCTTTTTTGTGAAATTTCAATATTCACTTTTTTGGTATCACACAATCTGTTAAATACATAAAGCTGTAACTTTTATAAAAGATTATTTTTCTTAACTACTATTTTTCACAAAATAAAAGTTATATCGCTTCAAGCATAAATTCAATAAAAGAAATTAATGAAAGAGTTATATCCATAGTTTTTTTTAATTATAAAAAGATGAACTCTTTAAACGATGTTGTTTAAAGTTTGTAATATATTTTTTTATTTTTTTGATAAAATCAATCTTTATAACAAAACAAACAAATAAACAAAAAAATAAAATTACAAAAAGTTATGCTAATAAAAAATAAAATAACATGAACTATTTTTTAGCTAACAATTTTTTTTTTTAAATATTCGTAATTATTTTTGTTATTTTTTGTTATTAGAATTTATTTATGTAAATATTCTTGCTATTTCAAGATGATGAATAAAAGTTTATTCATCATCTATTATATTATATTAGTTTATCATATTTCTTTTATGATTTCTTTTTTTAAGCATCATATATCATCTTTTTTTTTTAAATGTAATAAGTAAAAAAAAAAACAAATAAAATAAAATTTTCTTTGTTTATATTTAACTTATTACATTTGTAAATAGTACGAAAATCAAACATAATTTTTATGCCATATTTTTTAAGTAATCGTCATTCAAACTTCATACTCATTTTAACGTTAATTACTTCTTTTATCTTACTGCTTAAACGATATCTTTAGGCTTGTTTAAATATTTAAAAATGATAAAAAATGGACTACGTGAAATGACTTTATGCTTTTGTTAAATGGTTTAGCGCATAAATAAATAGCGCACCAGTTTATACTTTAGAACAAGGCCTGTAAAAGAATATATAAAAACCATAAGTACTTACATACATACATATGGTCTTGTTTCCATATATTCATTTAATCTTGAATAGGATTTTTTACATATTTCATGGAACAATTGAAAATCACAAAAGGGTTTTTAGTTTTATGAAAAGTATGCATCATTCCATTAAATTTGTTTTTAAGCATTCTCAGTCCATCATTAATTTCATGGACCTTACCATTTGTAAAAATAACGTTTGTGATATGAAAACAACTACTTATAGAAAACCTACAGATACATGTTTTGCACTATGAACCAAATCACCTTTAACACCTGAAATCTAACACAATTTTTAATCAAGACCTGAGATATAAACAGACTTGTATCTGACAACAATATCTTTATAAAGGAACTTAAGACCTTAGCACAGATTGCAATAGTTTATGGGTATCTTATAGAATCATAAACACTATTAAAAAAACTTTAAGCTATACTCAACACCAAAATATATATATGTATCGAAAAAAAAAAATAAACAGCCCTTTCTGTTATAATATTGACAAAGTATGCAAATAACAAGTAAACATTAGCACTTAATAAGAACTGGCAAGAATCTGCAAACAATATGGCCATCAATACCAAATGGTATTTTTACCAACACAAAATCAATAAAAAACATTTTATTGATTTCGGACAGCACATAAAAACTAGTTATAGAATAGTTTTCATCTAAGTAACTTTATTTTGTTTTGTTTTTTAATTTTTTATTTTCAACATAAAAAAAATCAACAACCAAACTTTCATTAATTGTATAAAGTATTAATGATCCTTTATTGACGAATGACAATATTCTTACTGAATTTTCTAATTAAGGTCTTCTCAGATAAAGATTTACAACTGATCTCTTATGGAAATTATATATACAAAAAAAATGATCTCCTTTAAATTCGCCTCCTTTATATCGTGCTTGTACTCCTGATCTAATTCTTAATCTTTATAAATCTTTTACTCATAGAGCTTGAGCCTCTTTTGGATTGTTAAATGACTACCAAGCTTTAGCTCCTGCCCCATTGATACAAGATTGCATATTTTTCTCTTGAGTACCTGCTTGAGAAAGCTCTAATAACTTGTTCCATCAACTAAATTTAAGTCTCAAATGACTTATCCTTCAGCAATATCACATTACTTAACTGTAGTTATTTTTTTAGGTTCAAAATTGTTTTATTTACCTTTTTTTTTCAAAAACATTAGCGTTTTGGAATTCCTCCATTTGCTGTGATTTCCCAAATCATACAAAAGTTTTTTGAATTCTTCTATCAATTACTTAACATTTAATTTATTTCCTTGTTTTCTGTTAACTCATAAATTAATAAATGGTTGCTTGCATATTTGTTGGAAGTGAATTTGTTTGAAAAAAAACTTTACTGAAATCCTTCTAACAATATTAATCAAATTAAAATAATAAAAATAAATAAATCAAAGATTTTTTTGTCAATTTTTCTATAATTTTTAGTAGCTATAAATGATAAAACCATGACTCAAATCGATATTGATTAATGCATTTTAATAGCCATGGATTAAAGCCATTAAAAAAAAAAAAACAGTTTAAATTAAAAAAATAAATTCTTAAATTTTTTTTTTTTTTAAATAACCATGTTTCTAATGAATATTCTTAATAATACTTCATCTAAAGTTCATAGCACATTAAAATAACACATTGAAAGTAATAATTTGGTGTATAACTTTTTTATATCAGGTTTATATGAAAATATAAATTGTTGGAGTACATATAAATAGAGTTAATGGTATAACAATTGAGTGTTAAATGAGAGATATAGTTAAAGATATTTTAGTTGTTTTATATGTTTTAAAGAGATAATATATTTGATATTTTAAGGAGTGCACTTTATCATCATTTATTCTGACCCAATCAAAATATGATTTGAAAAAGCTAAACACTGAAAAATCTAAAGGCTGCAGTTTATGACTGTAGTGTAGTGTAAATGTTAATAAAATATTTTTTAACAAGCGGTTTTTTTTAACACAGTAAAAAAGTAAGAAAATGTTAAAACATAAACAATCTTTTCTAAAACTCAATTTTCTCATTTCATCTTAATAAATGAGGAAGCATTTATTTTGTTTAAAATTAAAAACAAAACACTATATAAACAAATTTTGCAATAACTTTATTTTTTTTTTAATAAATTTACTAAAGGTAACTTAGCTATCAAGAAATACATATAAAAAGTGTAAATAATCGAAATTGAAAATAATAACAAACTTCTTAATTATTCAAGGAAACTATAGCTAAGGTGAAACTATATTATGAATAAAGATAAGCAATCTTTTTCAATTAATCAATACAAATCTAAATTATTACTTGACATTTCCAGCATACACTTTTATTTTGGATACACTGTTTATCCACTGCAAAAATAAAATTTTATATATAAATGTGTATGTATGTATGTATGTATGTATGTATGTATGTATGTATGTATGTATGTATGTATGTATGTATGTATGTATGTATGTATGTATGTATGTATGTATGTATGTATATATATATATATATATATATATATATATATATATATATATATATATATATATATATATTAGGGGTATGACTAAAAAACATTTCACTTTTTAGGAAATGGCATGGTGGCAAAGGATGAACTTTTATTTGTATTAACTTAAAATAATAATACTTTTTTCCAAATCGAAAAAAAAACCCACCAGTGCAGATGAAAATTTGGTCCCAGCTGTCTAAAAAAGCAAAAAAATTCAAGTTTTTGCATTTATAGTAAGGGCAGGGTCACTTGAAAAAATTTCAAAAATACCATGAGACTTAATTTTGTAGCT